GTCCCCTTGGAGAGAGAAGGCGGTATAATAACAACAACAACTACTACTACTACTACTACTCAAACTATTCTGGGGCTTCCGAATTCAGACAGAGTTTTGGAGCACAATACTCCTGATCTCACGATCGTGTTAAAAAACAAAGTATAGAAGCTACTTTGAGTCTCCTCATGAAGAGAAAAAAACAAGATATAAAAAAACAAGTATGGATTGTCCATGTTGCAATCCCAGGCGACAGCAGGATTGAAGAGAAACAATACACGATACAAGGATTTAAAGATTGAACTTCAAAGACTCTGGCACAAGCCAGTAAAGGTGGTCCCAGTGGTGATTGGTACACTGGGTGCAGTACCTAAAGACCTTGGCCTGCACTTAAACACAATTGGCACTGACAAAATTACCGTCCGCCAGCTGCAAAAGGCCACCTAACTGGGATCTGCATGCATTATTCGCCAATAATACTCCAGCAAAGGATCACCGCCTTGTCGGGGCGCTGGAGCTTGAGCACCTCAATGATGTCATGAGCAAAACCGTGAAGGGCCACCCAAGACGGGACGGTTGTGGCAGAGAGGTCAGACCAAGCGTGATCCCTGTGGAAGGCAATGGCAAACCACTCCAGTATCCTTGCCAAGAAAACTAAATGGACCAGTACAACCAGAGATATGTCGGTATGCCATTGGAAGATGGGACTCCCAGGTCGGAAGATGGCCAAAATGCTACTGGGGAGGAGCAGAGGATAAGTTCAACTAGCCCCAGATGTGATGACGCAGCTAGCTCAAAGCCGAAAGGAAGGCTAGCGGCCGACGGTACTGGAGGTGAACGACAATCCGATGCTCTAAAGATCAACACACCATAGGAACCTGGAATGTAAGATCTATGAGCCAGGGCAAATTGGATGTTGTTATTGGTGAGATGTCAAGACTAAAGATAGACATTCTGGGGGTCAGCGAACTGAAATGGACTGGAATGGGCCACTTCACATCAGATGACCACCAGATCTACTACTGCGGACAAGAGGAACATCGAAGAAATGGAGTAGCCTTCATAATTAATAAGAAATTCGCTAAAGCGGTGCTTGGATACAACCCAAAAAATGACAGAATGATCTCAATTCGAGTGCAAGGAAAGCCTTTCCAACATTACAGTGATCCAAATATATGCCCCAACCACAGCTGCTGAAGAAGCAGAAGTAGATCAGTTCTATGAGGATCTGCAGGACCTACTGGATAATACACCAAAAAGAGACATTATTTTCATTACAGGAGACTGGAATGCCAAGGTGGGAAGTCAAATGACAACTGGGATCACAGGCAAGCATGGTCTTGGACAACAAAATGAAGCGGGACGCAGGCTGATAGAATTTTGCCAGAAAAACTTGCTGTGTATAACGAATACTCTCCTCCAACAACCTAAAAGACGGCTTTATACATGGACTTCACCAGATGGTCAACACCGAAATCAGATTGACTACATCCTTTGCAGCCAAAGGTGGCGGACATCCATCCAGTCGGTGAAAACAAGACCTGGGGCTGACTGTAGCTCAGATCACGAACTTCTTATTGCCAAATTTAGAATAAAACTAAAGAGATCAGGGAAAATACACAGACCAGTTAGATATGATCTCACTAACATTCCTAGCGAATATACAGTGGAAGTGAAGAACAGATTTGAAGGACTAGATTTAGTAAACAGAGTCCCAGAAGAACTATGGACAGAAGTCCGCGACATTGTTCAGGAGGCGGCAACAAAGTACGTTCCAAAGAAAAAGAAAACCAAGGAGGCAAAATGGTTGTCTGCTGAGACACTGGAAGTAGCCCAAGAAAGGAGGAAAGCAAAAGGAAACAGTGAAAGGGGAGATATGCCCAGTTAAATGCGCAATTCCAGATGTTAGCCAGAAGAGATAAGGAACTATTTTTAAATAAGCAATGCATGGAAGTGGAGGAAGACAACAGAATAGGAAGGACAAGAGACCTCTTCCAGAAAATTAGAAACATTGGAGGTAAATTTCAGGCAAAAATTGGTATGATAAGAAACAAAGATGGCAGGGACCTAACAGAAGCTGAAGAGATCAAGAGAAGGTGGCGAGACTATACAGAAGATCTGTATAGGAAGGATAATAATATTGAGGATAGTTTTGACGGTGTGGTGAATGAATTAGAACCAGACATCCTGAGGAGTGAAGTTGAATGGGCCTTAAGAAGCATTGCTAACAACAAGGCAGCAGGAGACGACGGGATCCCAGCTGAACTGTTTAAAATCTTAAAAGATGAGGCTGTCAAGGTGATGCATGCCATTTGCCAGCAAATATGGAAAACACAAGAATGGCCATCAGACTGGAAAAAATCAACTTATATCCCCATACCAAAAAAGGGAAATGCGAAAGACTGCTCAAACTTCCGTACAGTGGCCCTTATTTCTCATGCCAGTAAGGTGATGCTCAAGATCCTGCAAGGAAGACTCCAGCAATACATGGAGCGAGAGTTGCCAGATGTTCAAGCTGGGTTTAGAAAAGGCAGAGGAACGAGAGACCAGATTGCCAATATCCGCTGGATAATGGAGAAAGGCAGGGAGTTTCAGAAAAACATCTATTTCTGCTTCATTGACTATTATAAAGCCTTTGACTGTGTGGATCATAATAAATTGTGGCAAGTACTTGGTGGGATGGGCATACCAAGCCACCTTGTCTCTCTCCTGAGGAATCTGTACAAGGACCAAGTAGCAACAGTCAGAACTGACCAGGAACAACAGACTGGTTCAAGATTGGGAAAGGCGTACGGCAAGGCTGCATACTCTCACCCAACCTTTTTAACTTGTATGCAGAACACATCATGCGATGTGCGGGGCTGGATGAATGCAAAGCTGGGGTGAAAATTGCTGGAAGAAACATTAACAATCTCAGATATGCAGATGACACCACTCTGATGGCCGAAAGCGAGGAGGAGCTGAGGAGCCTTCTAATCAAGGTGAAAGAAGAAAGCGCAAAAGCCGGGTTGCAGCTAAACGTCAAAAAAACCAAGATTATGGCAACAAGAATGATTGACAACTGGAAATAGAGGGAGAAACCGTGGAGGCCGTGACAGACTTTGTATTCCTAGGTGCAAAGATTACTGCAGATGCAGACTGTAGCCAGGAAATCAGAAGACGCTTACTTCTTGGGAGGAGAGCAATGTCCAGTCTCGATAAAATAGTGAAGAGTAGAGACATCAGACTGGCAACAAAGATCCGCCTAGTCAAAGCCATGGTATTCCCTGTAGTAACCTACGGATGTAAGAGCTGGACCTTAGGGAAGGCTGAGCGAAGGAAGATCGATGCTTTTGAACTGTGGTGTTGGAGGAAAGTTCTGAGAGTGCCTTGGACTGCGAGAAGATCCAACCAGTCCATCCTCCAGGAAATAAAGCCCGACTGCTCACTGGAGGGAAAGATACTAGAAACAAAGTTGAAGTACTTTGGCCACATCATGAGGAGACAGGAAAGCCTAGAGAAGACAATTATGCTGGGGAAAGTGGAAGGCAAAAGGAAGAGGGGCCGACCAAGGGCAAGATGGATGGATGGCATCCTTGAAGTGACTGGACTGACCTGGAGGGAGCTGGGGGTGGTAACGGCCGACAGGGAGCTCTGGCGTAGGCTGGTCCATGAGGTCACGAAGAGTCGGAGACGACTGAACGAATGAACAACAAATTCGCCAATACATCACACAGCCCTAGACACTTGGGAAGTGTCCAACGTGTGATCCAATACAACAGCCAGCAGAGTGATCTTGTTTGCTGTCAACTCATCTTGTTGTTTTTTAATAATAATAATAATAATAATAATAATAATAATAATAATAATAATAATAATAATTGCCTTGAAAAAAGGAAGTCTTAAATTATCAGACTTTGGCCTAGATCTTTTTGCCAATCCCAAATTGTGTAGATCCATGGAATTTACCTATATGTTGTCTCACCATTCAGTAAATAAAGGTTTTCCATAGGATTCAGGCCTTGGAAGTCAGGTTACCAAAACCCCACTTTTCCCTTTATTTTCTTATAAACAGTTCTTGCTCTGGTCTGACTAGAAAGGGAACACCAACCATAGCCTCTGTTAATTGCAAACAAGTAATATGTGACAGCAACCTTCTCACTGCAGCACCTTTGGAACGTGCTCCTGGGGTGGAGACGGTGTGCTGCTCCCAGGACTGCAGTGCAAAGAGGAAGTATCTCAGCAGCGGATGTGATGCAGCTCAGCTAAGGGTGTGTGTGTGTGTGTTTTGAGCTGGCTAAATGATGTTTTGCAATAGAACAGAGGACTGTACTTTATCAACTTGAGTCCTGCGTTCTTCTCACTTGTCATGTTGGGGAAGACAGTTTTGTTTTGCCATCTGGTGGTAGAATGGCAGTCAATGCAACAGTCAAAGGGCAATTCAGCAAGTGGGTTGATAAGGAAGCCTTTGTGAAAGCAGCCAACTGAATGAGAACACAAGGGTGCTGAGTAACTAAAACCCCACTGATTTCAGTAAAGCTAGATCTACAATCCTATGCATATGCTAGAGGAAGAAAGCAAGCTAGTATGTAAAAGAATAAGCAGTATTCAAGGGCCAACTCATTCATCTCCCCATTCCAAGCCAAGGCAGGCTTGTTCCCCTCCTTGATACAGGCTCAGCTTTGCATTCCCTGGGTAAGTCTCAACCCATTCAATCAGTTGTTGAATGATGCATCAACAACTAGATGAATACTACTGTTTCAGTGGGTCTACTGAAGATTATCGATAGGATTTAGACCTAAGTGTGCTGGTCATTTATTTACTTAATTACTATATTTGTATACCGCCCTTCTCAGCCCTTAGGCGACTCATTGCATTGGAAAGAAGATGCAGTGTTTATAACAAAAATGTTTCAAATAAGAAACACGCAAAAGTATAGCCCGCAAGTTAAGAATTAATAAATACCTATTATTCCAACTTGAATCTGAAAATCCTAAGTACCACATTCAGTGAAAAAGGAAAACGTATAGCGAGCGAAGAGATTAATAAATACCTATTTTATTCCAAGTAGAAACCATAATTGTTAAGCACCATCATTAAACTCCACGCCTGACAAGCCACTCCTTCATTTACAGGCTTTTACACAGATATTGGGATTTCACAAGTTCACACCTCATTAGAGCTAAAATGTTTTCCTGAGATAGACTAGGATGTTTAATGTGGAGCCTAATTTCAAGATTTCCTTGACAAGAGACCTACCATATCTCTTGTAAATGCTGAGTTACCATGTTTACAGTTTTGTTAACAGGCCTAGCAGCTAAAGGAGGCAATTCAGCACATGTATTTTCAAACTGCCTATGCAGCATTTAAGTGAGGGCTCAGAAAGACCACTGAAATTCACAGGAGCACATGCAAAAAACCAAAGGCTTTGGTATGGGATGCACTATTTAGCTTTCTGAGGAATTCATAGTTTTATTGTAACAACAAGGCAATTTTCTAATCCTTACACCTAGAAAGGTTGGCCATTAGTATTCTTGGATAGGAAGGGCTTCCTGTTCAAGCTGAGGTTTGTGTAGACCACTAGGACTTGACATGTTTCCATATCTTGGTCATGCTTCAGTCTTGACTAATTGCTTTTTCCACAGTTACCAACAAACTTCAAATGGTTGGTTTTGGGGGTACCATTATCATCTTAAAGAAATCAGTAGTATTACTAAGACAGGATCTACACTTCCCTATATCCCAGGATCTGATCCCAGATTATCTGCTTTGGGCTGGATTATATGAGTTGACACTTCAAGAAAGTCTAGGGTAAGCAGATAATCTGGGATATAGGGCAGTGTAGATCCAGCCAAAGATTCACAGTAGTTGGGAAGTGAAACTTCAGTTACTGGAAATTCCTTTTCTCTTACAAGGAAAAGCATCGTTTTTTAAAAAATAGTGAACAGTGTTAAGAGAACATTTTATTATTTTTTAAAAATCCTAACTTTTAGAATGCCAACTTTCTCACAGAAAGGGGAAATGGGGATTCAAAGTCAAACAACTAAAAGTCAGAGTTTGGGGAAATTAGACTTTGGATTAGTTTCCAGACCCCTTCTTCCCCCAAGCCCCGCAAAGCTGCAGTATAGTCATGCTGGTTGAGGAAATGTTGGGAATTGTAATTTAGATGAGCTTGGATTTAAAAAATGGAGCCTTCTTAGGCCTGCATTTTCCCTTCTAGTGATACAGAACTTATATCATTTGTACATTCATACACAAACAAAGCATTTTTTTAAAAAATCCCAGTGAAATGACAAATGTTTTGGATAAATTTTCCAAAAATTGTTCACATTTTTAACTTGTTTATAATAAAAATGTTTCTGGAAAAAAAACCATTTTTGTGGGGTGGAAACTGGTTTTGGCACAGAAACAGTGCACTTCATGCAAAATAGACATTTAGCACAAAAATTGCACAAAGCATCTACTTTTTTTTGTGCAAATGGGTTTTTCACAAAAAATACCAAAATGTAAAAAAAAAAATTCCTGCAGAGATCCTATTTTTTTTTCAGCCAGGTATGTTGACAAGGAGGAGAAATTTGAAATGTTCTTCTCATCCCTGTACTCCAAGGTACAAACCACGTACCAGGAAAGGAGGTGGAGGCAAAACGAAGCATCTGGCCTCGTACCCCATACATTTGCTGCTCCCCTTTCTGTATGACTGAAGCAGCTCTATGTGCATCAAACACCCACCTTCACCTATAAATCTGGCCATTACGTCCATGCTATCTTCCTTGACATGGCCTGTTTGAAATTCTCCATGTCCAATTCTCCTGGCCACAGAGACCTCTCCAAACCCACCAGCAGGTCACGGTGGCACTCCCGGATATTTACTGGGTACCTTGCCCTGACAAACTCATAAGCAGCCAGCAGCCTCATGCGATGTTTCACCATGAAGTACTGGATGACACAGGTAGGAGCCAGAGAATAACCATCACGGCAATGAATCAGAATCCGCTTCCTTTTCTCCAGAGAGGCATCAATGCATGCATTGATGTCCCAGAAGCATGTCTGCTGCAGGGAAGGGCAATCCTCTTCCAAGGGGCCCTGGATATGCACCTTGAGGCGGGACCAGCTATGCTGGGATCCTCGGCGACAGGTGCAAGGGATAAAGTTCAGTCTACATTCCCTAGGCAAACTGCTCATGTCGATGATGCTGTCAATGTTGTTCTTGCACAGTGTTTGACCACTGTAACCTGCACTGAGGTTGCCCACATATATGCCGTCTGTTACCCTGCAGATGAGTGGCTCCAACTGGTTAAAGCTGGGCACTGTTACTATCTCAGCCTCATGGTCCATTCCTGATTTGAGAGTCCCACAGTAATTCTTCTTGGAATCAGAAATATAAAGGAGACTGTTATCACATTCAGAGCTGTTATTCTGCAGCAATGGTGTAGACAAAAAGGACTTCACAAAAGACTTGGACTTGGATAGAGCTTCTCTTTGCTTGGGCAGGGAGGATCTGGATGAGGAATTCAGTACAGGGACACAGAATAATGATGCTCGTTCCAAAGAACCTGTGCTGCTAGCTGCCCCACCACTGTAAACCTGCTTCATCTAGGAAAAGAAAAAGAAAACAGAAACAAGTTTTGTTCCTGGTGCTTGAGAGTATTATGTGCTATGGCAGAAGTGAGTCAATTTCAAATATCTATGGACTAATATCTGACCCACTGGATCACCATGGCTACACCACCACCTTTAATGATAAAACTGTAAGTAAGCAGAAATCTGTTTATAGTTTGCTAAATGTTCTGCCTCACCCTGCCCCCCACCCCACCAATCTCTTTATCAATTTTCTTTCTAGTGTAAGGGGCATTGCAAGGGGCATTAAAACACCCCTCAACCACCATTGCCACCTTCCCAAAAGTAAACAGAAACCCACTTCTATTGTAGTAGATTCTCTCTCTTTCTCTTTGTCATTTTTTTTAAAAGGAAAGGATGCAATATAGAGGGCTCCAGAGCCGCTGCTAATGGGTGGATGCATGGCTGGACCCCATGTGATTCCCACCCCTCTACTACTCGATCCACAATCTGGCTCAGTAGTACATCAGGTAATGTGGCCTGGTCTTCTTCATATACATCTTTAGACAAATCTTCTCCCCACACTCATCTGACAAGTCCTTTTTGACAAAAACAAATTGCAGATGTAGATAGATCATTGCTCACCTGAGCATCAAGATTATCTGGAGAAACCATGCTGTTGTGCTGCCTGACACCATCTGAGGACAATGATAAACACAACACTCGGTGAGTCTTCGTAGGTGATTGGATCCTGGAGGAGGCCTCCCTGCTGCTCTTTTGCTCCAGAGCTTCATTCCTGCTCATTATCAAGTCTGGACAGGAACCTGGAAAACAGAACAGTAAAGAATGTTAGTAAAATAACTACCTTCAATACATATATCAGAGCTCAGAAAAGCTAATTTTGGGGACAACGGCTCCCAGAATCTCTCTGGGAGCTGCCATTATAGAATTTTGTCTGATTACATGTAGCTTAATTTATTGATGTCATGTTTAATTTACTGATGTTAGGTCTTAATTTGATGTTAGGCTTTAATGTTACTTTTATATGTGGAGGTTTTCTGAGATTTTATGTTAGTATCATGTGTTTTATGTAGGCACTGAATGTTTGCCATTGTTATGCTGGAATCTGCCCTGAGTCCCCTTGGGGAGATAGGGCAGAATATAAATATTTTTTATTAATTCAAAATGTAACTATTCCAAGATCTTTATACAATGCTCTATGGATACTTGTGGCTACTTGTTCTGTGAAACAGCATTTATGATGACCAAACTCCATTCAGATTGATTATAAATTTTATTTTGATTTACTTTAGTCTTCATTTTGTTGTAAGCACACTAGCTGTAAGCTCTTCAGTGTGAGGCAGCGGTTCCTACCAGTATTATATTTTTCCTCTCTTTCAGTTAGTGCATTAGTCTACAATATGTCGAAAGGTTATGTTAAAAATGAATGCTTCATTAAATCTTTAAATAATATCCAGGGAGTTAATCACATCAGCAAGTTGCAAGCAACAACAAAAGGTGCTTGTAACACTGTCATAGAATTAGCCTTTAGTTGAGATGGACTCTGTTTCATGAAAACCTATTTTTCATGCCTACCTGTACAATGCTGAGAAAGAGCCACTGGAGAAGAGAGATGCAAGGCCTTCCGGAGGTGCTTTGTAAGCAAGCCTGGAAATGGAGAGAAAAATGCACTTTACGGCTTGGCATCCACATCCACAGGTTTAATACCTGCAGATTTCATTACTTGAGAATTTCATTAATTGGTCTAAGAATCTAAGACCAGGACTCAATTCCTACTCAACCAGGAAAAAAACTTGGGTAAGTCACACACTCTGAGCCTCAGAGGGAGGCAAATTCAAAGCACCTCTGAACAAACCTTCCAAGTAAACCCCAAGATAGGGTTGCTTTAGGCTGCAGACCTGCACAAACTATGGACCTCCAGATGTTTGGGCCTCCGACTCCCAGAAGCCCTCACCAGCTTGCCCAGTGGCCAGGAATTCTGGGAGCTGAAGTTGAAAACACCTGGAGAGCCACAGGCTAGGCAGGCCTGTCCACACTGTTTAAAACATGCCCATTTTTCAAAAACTGAAACAAATGGATGGGAACCTATTCTCTTCTGCCCCCCACTTCTTTTTCCCCCTCCATTTTGGCAATCTTTGGGGCTCTCAGAATATCCTGGGGCAGAAATGTAGTAGTTACCTACCCTTGCATTAGTTCATCTCCCAGGCTGCTCTTTTTCTACTGGTTGGCAGTGACTCTTCAGATTTTGAGCAAAAGTCTTTCCTACTACCATGGGAGACTCCAAGTCTGAAACTGAAACCATCTCCGAAGCTGTTGTTGAGTGCAAAGTATTTGCTCAGCCAAAAAAAACCAAGACCCTTCTATGGTCATACAACCTATCGTACTAGGTAGTTTCACTCTGAACACTCCAATTGTCCATGGTTTACTACAGAAAAGTTACTTTGGGAGAGTACAATTGTCAGCATCTACCAGCTGGCATGACCACACAAGAATAGTTTAAAAATAAGGCATTTATGAGAAAGCAGTCTTTGTAAGAATCTAATAAATTGAGTTTGCCAACCATTTCCTCCTTTCTCTCACTTACCTGCAACCCCATGTTTTCTGGAATCACATCTTCTGTTCAGCAGTGTGCCTACCATTTCCTCCATGGTATCCAAATCTGAAATATGGAGGAACAGATGGCTTCAGCCTACAATATGACAGCTCATGTTTACAGTAGAGCAACAAAGATGTAATGAGTTGGAAAAATGATAGGTTGAATGACAGATTCATCTACAAAATCATTTGAAAGATTGTGGTGAAATGTTTAAATGATGTTCCTTATGGGCTTTCCAAATGTTAAATTTTCTGGAGAGTCAGCCTACAAAGGTTTCCAAGAAACCCAGGCAAATCTGGACTGAACCAAAACATTGTCTTATATAATTTCTATTTACTATATTATTTTATTTGTTCATTTTTTAATTTATAGAACACCTTTCTCTCAGGACATGACCCAATTTTTATACATTTTCAATAAAACATATACATTGGTTACCTTGCATGTCATTCCATCAGAAAGGAGGACTATAAAGTCAATAATAAATACATTGCACACACGCATGCACGCTCTCTCTCTCTCTCTCTATATATATATATCCATGTATTATCTGAAAGTTCCCATTGAATCTGTAAAACAACAAAGTAATGTACCAGTTCAAAATGAAGAAATGGAAAAAGTAATATAGTATTAAACTCACTGGCTCCAATCAAAATGAACAATGAACAGATAGATATACAGCCATTATTTTCAAATTTCCTGGACTTTCGTACTCTGCGTCCTTCAAGGTTTGGAAGCAAACAGCATGATAATAGGTGTTTTAACAGTTTATTCGCTGTAACACATTACCTTGAGCAAAACATAAAAGGAAGATATGGCAATTAAAATAGCCCATGAAAGTAATTCAGCCTAAAGGAGAGGTCAGCACTGCAAAATGTCTCCACCATGCTGTTATGCTCAGCCAGTCTCTTTAGCAGAGGTGAGGATCATTAGTTCTTCCTGATGTTGCAGTTTCCAACATTCTCCACCACCTGCTACACTGGGGCAAGGGCGACAGAGACTTGCAGTCCAACATTTGCAGAACCACAATTCCCAACTAGATACATTTCTCTCCAGAAACTGATGTAGTTTTTTGGTTTTTTGGGGGTTTTTTTGTAATTGTGTGTATATGTGTTCGTTTGCTGTAGAACAAGCCATTGGCGCAATTACTTATAGTACCAGTTGTGTACCAACAAGTTAACTTCAACTATTCCTGGATTTACACTTCCAAATAATACCATTCAAACTGCATTATATGGTTCTATACCAGGCATGGGCAAACTTTGGTCCTCCAGGTGTTTTGGACTTCAACTCCCACAATTCCCAACAGTCTCTGGCTCCCACCCCCACCCCCCCAGCTGCTTCATTTCCAACTGTTCAATGCAATGTCCTTGCAGATGGCCAATTCTCTCACACCAGAAGCGACTTGCAGTTTCTCAAGTCGCTACTGACACGACAAAAAAATGCAGAAGCCTAATTTTAAATGACATGCAAGAAAATAAAAATACACAACTGTAGCAAAACTGGAATTATCTGATCAAGGTGATCACAGAACACAACCATATAGCCTCCCATAGAGAATTGAAGGGAATGCAATGTCCTGCTACATATGTCCTACAACAGGAATACCTAGATGTCTTGTAGTTTTGAAAAACTGGTGGCTTTCTTCACATTTCTAACATCAAACTGTGCAAACAGGCATGGCTTGCTCCTGAGGCTTTTGAAAGAGGCAGTTCTCTATGGGAAGAAATAAGGTAGTCTGGAACGTAGAGCACAATCATGGGCTGTAAGAGCACCCAGGGGCAATTCAAAGTGCTGGCTTCAACCTATAAAGCCCTAAAGTAGTAGTTCTCAACCTGTAGGTCCCCAGGTGTTTTGGCCTACAATGCCCAGAAAGCCCAGCCAGTTTACCAGCTGTTAGAATTTCTGGGAGTTGAAGGCCGAAACATCTGGGGACTTACAGGTTGAGAATCACTCCTGAGAAAAAGAAGGCTACAAATTTGGCCCTTGGACCACCCTTTGCCCACCCTGCACTAGACAAAGAACACCTAGAAGCACAACGTGGGAGGTGCACAAGGGAGGGAATATCAAAGAATAATTCTGAATCAATACACTCCCTTCTGTTCCACTTTATCCCACACATCCCCAGTTTTTCTGTACACAATGTAGGCTTTTCTACCTTGTATACTTAGCCACCATTTGGCATTCAGGCTAGGACACAATATCACAACTACATTAATCACCCCACACAGACACAAAGTAGCACCATGTTTTAAATGCTGTTTACACAGGCCCACACCAAGGAGGATATGGCTAGAAGGGAGCGTACAGTTCAGATGGACTCAAAGAGAAAGGAAAGTCCTTCTTCTTGGAAAGGGGTAGGGGTGCCTCCCTCCACACCTGGGGACAAGAACTCAAGAACTATGTGGAGCTTTTTCTCATCTTGAAAAGTCTCACACTGAAGACCCTTCCACACAGTCATATAACTGAGAATAGGAATACAGAAAATCCCAAAATATCTGCTTTGAACCAGGTTATCTGAGTCCACACTCTGGAGAGTGGTGTTCATCTCAATTTCTAAGCTAAAGAGCCAGAGTTGTCCGGAGACACCTCCAAGGTCATATGACTGGTATAACTGCATGGCACACCTTTACTTTCCCGCCGGAGTAGTACCTATTGATTTGCTCACATTTGCATGTTTTCAAACGGCTAGGTTGGCATAAACTGGGGCTAACAGTGGGAGCTCATGCCGCTCCACGGATTCGAACCTGCAACCTTTTGGTTAGAAATTTCAGCAGCTCAGCAGTTTAACCAACTGTATTGCCAGGGGCTCCTTAGGTTAATGATACATGCATCCAGAAAGAGTCAACACTGAATTCACCTACCAGTAAGCATTAGTTCAGTGGTCCTCAAACTATGGCCTGAGGGCTGAATACGGTCCTCAAAGGTCATTTACCCGGCCCTCACTCTGAGTCAACTTAAGTCTGAAATTACTTGAAAACACACAACAACAACAACAACAACAACCCTATCTCATCAGCCAAAAGCAGGCCCACACTTTCCATTAAAATACGAATAAGTTTATATTTGTTAAAATTGTTTTTCATTTTAATTATTGTATTGTTTTTTTAAAAAAATTGCACTACAAATAAGATATGTGCACTTTTCACATAGGAATTCATTCATGTTTTGTTTTTTTTCAAATTATAATGCAGCCCTCCAACAGTTTGAGGGACTGTGGCCTGGTCCTCTGTTTAAAAAGTCTGAGGACCCCTGCATTAGTTTCTTCTTCATTTTAGCCCCCCCCCCCCAAACTTTTCTTTATTCTATAGGAAAACTTGGGCCCTTCCACACAGCTGTATAACATCCACACTGAACTGGATGTTATGGCAGTGTGGACTCAGATAACCCAGGGCCCTTCCACACAGCCCTATATCCCAGAATATCAAGGCAGAAAATCCCACAATATCTGCTTTGAACTGGGTTATCTGAGTCCACTGATGATGTGGGGTTTTCTGCCTTGATATAATGGGATATAGGGCTGTGTGGAAGGGCCCCCAGTTCAAACCAGATAACTTGGGATTTTGTGGAAGGGGCCCCAGTCTGCAAGGCGTATCTATGTGCAAAGAAACGCCCTCCAAAATAGTCATTTCTAAACTTCCCAAACCCTCTTTTCTCCGAAGAGATCTTATTAAGGAGAAACAGGAAGGCGAAGTGGTGGAAATAACAAAGAGGAAAATGGGTCCCTTCCCTTTCTGATCTTTTTTTTCTAACCACAACGTGGATCCAGGCCCGACAAAAGGGAAGAAGGCAGAAAACAACTTGGGGGCGGGAAATGGATGCGAAGGGGCGGCCCAGGCAACAGAGGATCCAAACTTGGAGAAGTTACTTTTGGCTGGGATTCTGGCTGTTCTAACCTCACAAAAGCATGCACTTCCAAAGCAAACGAGATCTCTTTGTACAATCACATTCTAACAGGTCTGTCTTTGAGTTCTAGTCGTCAACAAAGTAACTTCTCCAAGCTGAGCTCCCCCCTCCCTGCGCCCAGCCAGCCTTACCATGAACCGAGACGATGTGTGCCGCCGGCCCGACTTGCCCGCTGCTTTTGCCGGCTCCGTCCACGGGATCCCCAGCCAGAGGCGGAACTCGGGGAGAAAAGCTGCCCTCCCCTAAACAAGCCAGTCCCTGGGAGGGAGGGAGGGAGGGAGGGAGGGAATGAGGGCGGGAGCAGGGAGAGGTGGGAAATGTAGTCTTCCAGGCCCAGGTGGACCTCTTCTCTTGAAGCCCCCCAACTTTTGGTTACAACAACCGTCGTTTCCTGCGGCATGCAGATTCCCAGTTTCTCAGTCATGAAACCAGTGCCACGTTTAGTTTCCTGGGGATTGAGAGAGAGAGCACTGGAGATTTGCATTGCTATGAATCAGCCATGGGCAAACTGGGGCCATCCTGCCAGTTGTTTGGACTTCAACTCCCACCATTCCTAACAGCCTCAGGCCCCTTCCTTCTCCTTTTCCGCTTAAGCGGCTGAGGGGGGGAAAGGAAAGGGCCTAAGTCTGTTAGAAATGGTGGGAATTGAAGTCCAAAACACCAGGAGGATGGCCCCAGTTTGTCCATGCCTGCTACAAACCTAATAATATTTGCATATTTACTATCAAGAGTCTGTTGGAACTTTGGTATTTTATTGTGTCATCAGCCACCAGACATTTGTATTACATTTTTAACAAAAACACATAGAACACCGAATTTGCAAGCTTGGTAGTTGATTAAATGTCCTTTGAGCAGTAGCTGGCCACTTGGAGTGCCTCTGGTGTTGCCGCAAGGAGGTCCTCCATTGTTGCATTGCAGCAGGTGGTCAGTGGTTTGCTCTTCTCCACACTCGCATGTCATGGATTCCACGTTGTAGCCCCATTTCTTAAGATTAGCTCTGCATCTCGTGGTACCAGAGCGCAGTCTGTTCAGCGCCTTCCAAGTCGCCCAGTCTTCTGTGTGCCCAGGGGGAGTCTCTCATTTGGTATCAGCCATTGGTTGAGGTTCTGGGTTTGAGCGACCAGAACCAGAACTTTGGTTACTACTGGTAAAAGGCACCAAAATGTGTCTCTTAAACAAGTTAAGCAGGTTCAGCCCCAGTTGGCACTCAGAGGGGAGACTGCCAGCCAATACAAGGCGCTATAAGCAAAATTTACAAGAAAGGAGTTGGCAAAAGCACCTCTGAGGATTTCTAGGTTGCCATAAGTCAGCAGGTGACTTGAAGGCACACACATACACACAGGCATGTGCATTGAGGCTGCATCTGAACAAGAGGAGAATATGTTTTCACCACAGGCCAGAAACTTGCAACATCTTGGTTTTCCTAAGTAGCAAAAAGTAACATTTGATTTCTTATGCTGCCCACAAGTGGGAATGCTAGTATGGGTTGGTTTTTGTTGCAAGATTTTTGTTATTTACAAACAAAAAGGTTTATGACATCCCCAAGAGCAGCAGATACATGCCAGAAAGTGTGCTTGCTTATGTGTGCTCCTGTTGCGTCAGTGCCACTGGCTACCAGTCTGCCACCAAGCACAATTTAAAGTGCTGGCTTTAGCCTATAAAACCCTAAATGGTTCTGGTCCAGTTCACCTGCCCAAACATATCTCCCTCTATGAGCCGGCAAGGAGATTAAGATCCTCTGGGGAGGCCCTGCTCTCGATACCGCCTCCTCCGCAGGTGCAGTTGGCAGGGACAAGACACAGGGCCTTCTCAGTGGTAGCCCCTCAGGTATGGAACTCCCTTCCGAGTGAAATCAGATTGGCCCCCTCTTTCCTGACCTTTAAGAAAAGGATAAAAACGTGGATGTTTGACCAAGCATTCAATGAGTAATCTATCAGTGCAATAAGAAAAGATGAGATAGTGCAAGGACAAATTGGAACAGCAGTGGACTATGATATTGGATTGTGTGATTTTAGTGGTTCTAAGGTTTTATTATGTTTTAATGGTTGTTTTAATGCTTATGTTTTTATTATGTGTGTCTTTGGCATCTAATTGTTGCCTCTATATGTAAGCCACCTTGAGTCCCCTACGGGCGTGGTATAAATACAATAAATAAATAAATTATGTTTAGAGTTTAGTAAAGTTAGCTTTCGAACTACAACTCTCTGATTCCCATGGCCACTGTGGCCAAATGCTTTGAGGATTGTGGGAATTGCTCTCCAAACCCAAGCCTTTCCACTGCTTATATTAATATATGTAAACCCCCAATTGCATTTCCAATCAGGACTGTTTGCATTTTACTGAACTTGTCAGCTTTTCTCCTTCCACACCTTTATGTGTTCGGCACATGTGTGCCTGCAGGAGGGTGTGTGTATGTGCCTTCAAGTTGCTTTTCAACCTATAGTGATCCCATGAATTTCACAGGGATTTTGTAGACAAGGAATACTCAAAATGCAATCCTTCCTCTGAAACAGAGCCCATGACACCTAGTATTTATTAGCAGTCTCCCATCTAAGCACTAACCAGTACTCCTTATTATATTGAGCCTCTTATGTTGAGCTTTCTATTTCTTTAGGGTTCTTAACATTATCACTTAACACTTTGAGCTCAGTCTAGAAGTACAAATCTTTTAAAATGCAATTTTCTATATAATGTTATGGGTAGCAAGCATTTGGTTCTTCCTGTGCGAACCTCAGCTTTTCTGTTATCCTCAAAGGCAGTCCCACAATAGCACATAATCTGAACAGGATGTTGTCAATGCATAAACTACTGTGACCAGATTATATTTACTCTGGAACAAGAACCAAAGTTCTGTTTTGTATTATTATTATTATTATTATTATTATTATTATTATTATTATTACACTGAGAAATAGGGCTTAAATAGTTGTTCCATTATTAAACTGCAGAAACTAAGGGCAGATGCTCTTTACTAGAAATGCAACAACCCCATTGATGCCACTCTTTCTGCCCTGCTCAGTTGGGTGAGTGGCTGAAATATCCATTCTAAATTAAATAGCAAGATGAGCTATTTAGCTGGTGTCATTTTTTTCTCACTTCACCTACGTATAAATTATGTAAGTGTGCCAAATTTGGTTGGTTATTGTATTCATCTGAATAACAAATGTGCCAGCAGATCCAAAATCTTACCACTTATTTAGTATGCACTGCTAAGTGCTCAAACACTTCATATTAAGCTATCTTTCTATGCTAGAAACTAGGCCTGTGCTATTTAGTTCGTTATTTCGTTATTTCGTTATTAATTCGTTATTTTTGCATTTTTGAAGCGATATCAAAACACATTTTCAAACCCGGAAGGGTTTAAAAATATCGAACCGGCAGCCCCCATAAATTTAACGAGCTTCCGCTCGTTTCGTTAATGGGATGGAGGCTGCTGGAGTGCTGGTGCCATTCCCCTCTTTCTCGGCCTGGGCTGCTCTCCCCGCCCTCTTTCCCCTCTCCCCGTTTTCCAACACTCCTCCTCCTCCACATGCGGCTGCATAGTGAGTGAAGTACTGTATAATAGCGCTGCATCAGGGGCGGCTGAAGCAACTTACGTGCCAAATCCCTGGCTGTGGGCTGCTTGGCTTGCTTGCTCGCTTCTCCAAGCGGGCGAAAGGAGAGGGAGAGAGAAAAACAGTGTGCTGCTGCCTGTCTCTTTAAGGAAGGAGCACATGGAGCCCTCGGCTGCCGGTTTGGCGGAGGGAGGGAGGCAGGCGCGCGCTTGGTTGCTCTGGGTTTAGCTGAGGAGAAAAAAAGAGCAACCAAGCGCGCGCCTGCCTCCCTCCTTCCGCCAAACCGGCAGCCGAGGGCTCCATGTGCTCCTTCCTTAAAGAGACAGGCAGCAGCACACTGTTTTTCTCTCTCCCTCTCCTTTCGCCCGCTTGGAGAAGCGAGCAAGCAAGCCAAACAGCCCACAGCCAGGGATTTGGCACGTAAGTTGCTTCAGCCGCCCCTGATGCAGCGCTATTATACAGTACTTCACTCACTATGCAGCCGCATGTGGAGGAGGATTCAGGAGCATTCTCTCCTGACGTTTCTCTCATATCTTATAGCAGGCATCCTCAGAGGTTTGTTGGAAACTAGGCAAGTAGGGTTTATATCCCTGTGAAATAACGTCCAGGGTGGGAGAAAGAACCCTTGTCTGTTGGAGGCAATTGTGAATGCTGCCATTGGCCACCTTGATTAGCATTGAATGGCCTCGCAGCTTCAAAGCCTGGCTGTAGAAGGTCCAGGGTGGGAGAAAGAACTCTTGTCTGTTGGAGGCAAGTGTGAATGTTGCCATTGGACAGCTTGATTGGGATTAAATGGCCTTGTAGCTTCAAAGTCTGGCTCCTTCCTGCTCAGGGGAATCCTTTGTTGGGAGGTGTTAGCTGGGTCTGACTCAAACCCGCTATGTCTGTATAGTAGGCCTGTGCGGTTTCGTTTTCCATTTTAAAATATTTTTTAATATTATTTTTTAATATTATTTTTAATATTATTTTTAATATTATTTTTTAATATTATTCTTAAAAAATAAAAAAAATATTCTAAAAATTCGTTAATATTTACAAAATTTTGTAAATACCAAAACTTTTTTTGGGAAAGTTTTGTAATTATTTTAAATATCGAAACAAAAAAACACCCCAATTACAAAACGATTACAAAACCAAATTTTTGCGTTGTTACCCAGGCCTACTAGAAACCACTGCACATTTATGAGTCATAAAAAATTGGTTTTGAATGGCTTTCAGGTTTGTACAGAAAAAAATATTTTAAATGATTTCTTTCATGTCATGCCTTTTTTTATCAAGCTGCAGATTCAGTTGGCTATTCTGCTCAATGCAGGTAGAAACTTATGTTGCAAGCATGACCCCATAATGCCAAAGCTAAGCAGTCACATTCCATTGCTTTCAATGACCTGAAAGAAGAGTTCCATCATGGCTGGACTGAAACCATAATGTTTTCATTTAGAAGGACATCCTAGAATTCAATTTGAAATCCAACCAAATCACACAATTGGGACCATAAGGGCCACCTAGTCCAGCCCATTGAAATATGGACACTCAAACATAAAAGCCCGCAAATTCAACAAAGTAGTTATTCCATTGTTAAACAGCTCTTGCTGTCAGAAATACAGCAAGGTTTAGCTAAAATCTTTTCTCTTGCATTTGAATCTATTGGCTCAATTTCCAGTCTGTGTCCCAGTACATCCTATGCCCCTTGGCATATTTCAAAGTCTAATAACAAGCAGGAAACATGTGAATAGTATTCATGATGCAAGTCACAGGGATTTCTTAAAGTTCAACATTTTTCCTAGATCCCTAGCAGGGAAAATACAGTACATAGACAAGTACTTACCTAGTTTTCAAACCAGGATTACCCAGTGGCAATCAGCTATTCTTTTGCTTTGCTTCCTTATTGCTGTCCCTGGCACTTGTTTTCTGCTGTTGCTGGACTGCTTGAATAAATCAAACAGGCAAGTAGACTCAGTCATTTATGAAAGGTTTATTCTTCCACTCAGCTCACTGTGATTGGCTCACTTTGGGTTTCCAAGATACTGTTTTCCATATGATAACACACGTCACCACTCAGGATTAAAAAAGAGAGTTGTCTCATAAGTTGCATTACGCTGATATAGACAGGAAGTTAATGTGTTGAACCTATTTCCAAACAGTTTGTGAACAAAAAGCCCTGAACAGAAACTGCTCTAAATTAGTACATAACTAAACTATACCTGACTTGTGTGTTAGTATTGTTAGTATCTTCTGTCACTGCCCTTTCATACTACCCATAGTGGCAGTATGATTCCACATAGTTGCAGTATGATTCCACTAGAATCTCTAATTTTAAGGGAAGACACAAGTCATCTCTGACTATTCTAAATACCTCTCCCTAAATTGCAAATCTCAGGATTCAAAAATAAAGAAAATGCTCTTTTTCAATCTGAAGGAATATCTACATCAATGTCTACTAGAAGCTGGACTTATAATTGTAGGAGGACATATACATTCCTAGAGAGGTCTCCCAGCATGGAGGGAGTAGACATAGCCACACTAGAAGACCTAGAGATTCCTAGCGAGAACACTTTAAATCAAATCCACGAATAATCAAATGCAAAAGTTAAAGCCACAGCTGTGGAGGGATGATTGTATTGGACTGGAATTGAGTGGGTTCCATTTTAAGCCTCCATAGAGACATGAAAACAAATGGGTGATTCTGGATCAATCACAGTCTCTTACCATGACCTACTTCACAGGATTGCTATGAAAATAAAGGAGGAGGAGAGTGTGAAGTAGTGGTTGCCCTCCCTCACCTGATTTCTATTCATGCTGTCATACACACACACATACATTGTCACAGTCACCATTACAAAAAAAATATTTTCATAAAATTCTGATAATTTGTTTTCCTATACTTTACATTTCTATACTTATCAGCTACTTATACAAATCCATTTTCCACCTTCCCTCTTCCTTCCTCCCCACTCCCCCTGGGAACAGTTGTACCTCTGCTCTTTGTATTATTATATTTGTTCAGTCATGAAGATTGTTTGATTCAATTCCTTGTATTTTACTTTCCCTTTTACTCTAGCTATAAGCCCTTTCCATTTTGATTCCCAGTTCTCCATTCATATATTTTATTTTTCTTTCAATGATGTAATATTGACTGATATATTTGATACATATTCATACCATTTTAAGTTTTAATTTCCTTTGTTCTTTCCATCCCAAGGCTACCGTTGCTTGGGTTGCTATCATGCATTTTACAATTTTGCCCCCTTTTTTTATTTCCACCTTTACTTTCTGAGTAAATAATTGTTTTTTTGTTCAACACTATTTCTATCCCTAACATTTCCTCCATCTCGTTCTTGGTTTTTAAATAAGTTTTGCAGCTTTTCGCAGTCCCACCACATATGGATTAAGCTACCAATCCCCCCATATTCATGCCGTGATTGATCACATTGAGAAGGCCTGGATTTTGAGGTTTCTGCTTCTGACCCCTAAAATGTTGGGATCATATTCAGGGATCAGAAAAGCCAGTTTGTGGAATCATTATTGTTAACTGCCATCAGGCTTATTGGCAGTCAGGAGAGAGAAAGTAGAACCAACCTGTTTGATGCAAATTTGGTTACTGTCATCTTAAATGCTGTTCTTTTCCTCTTCTGACTGTCTGAGTTTGTACATAAATATCCAGAGTTGATAATCCTTACATCACTTAATTGTCCTTTTCATTGGAGAGTGTATTACACAAATCCAGAAATTTCTAAACAAAGGTATGTATATGCAGTGTTTTATGAATAATAATGTAATCTATAGGTTTCTAGAGAATATAACACATTTTGTGTTGTCCTTGTTAATGTATTAAATCGAGGAAGGCCAACTCTGTTACTGCCAAGGTGCACCAAGCTTTTTAAAACAAAGCAAGTTACCATCTGTCAGAATCTCACAAGATCACCATAAATCACAGTGGACATGACAGCAAAAAATAGCACAATATATTTCAAAATAATTCAGTGGGTCTGATCTGCTTGGGACTGACAACTGGTTTTAGGCTTGAGAAACCATAGGTGAATGGTAGAGCACTTGTATAAAAGGCAGAAGTTCTCAGAATTCATAAGGCGGTTTAGTAAATAGTTATAGTTTTAAGCACGCATATACCTTGCTCCTCCAAGTAATTAATTGCCATTATAGTATAACTGCCGTTTCTCTAAAGTAACTCAACAAATAAAGTAACTTTTTGTTTATTAGTAACATCAAGATGTTTCAAGTTTCTGGCCTGAGCTATAAAAACATTCCTCTTAATCCTAAATGTTGTTTCAAAATCTACAGTAGTGCACAAGACCCAGTGTGTGTGTGTGTGTGTGTGCATTCAAGTTGCCTGACCCAGTGCATTTTACAGAGTTTTCTGAGACACAGAATACTGAGAGGTGGCTTCTCCAGTTCCTTCCTCTGAAATATAGCACTTGGTATTCCTTGGTGACTACTCATCCCAGTCTTAACCGGAGCTGACCCTTCTTGGCTTCTAAGAGCAGACACAATCTAGTGCCTTTAAGGTATTTGGGTTCACTCAAGATATAATACTAGGCAACCATTGAACCATGTGCACTATGGATTTGTTTGCATTCTATTTTTTTTTACTAAAATTAGTAAAACTGAGTGAGCAATAACGTGCTAATTTATGGGATAGATCTTATTACTATTTCTGTATGTCATTTTTATGCATAAGGGAGAGTTATTATCTTCCCAAGCACTTATAACCATCTCCTGGAACAAAGAGATAAAAATTAAAACACAAAAGGCACTTCCAGACAGGCCCTATATTCCAGAATCTGATTCCAGGCTTTCTGCTTTAAACTGGATTGAGTCCACACTGCCAGATAATCTGGGATAAACAGAAAACCTAAAATCGGATCCTGGGATACAGGGCCTGTCTGGAAGGGCCCAAAGCTGAAAGACAGCACGTTTCCTTTAATCCCTGGAGTACAATTTGTTTGTTTCACACACATATATTCAGTAATGCTTATCTAGTTTTGTCTTAGTTCAATTTTAAAACTACCAAAAAGTGATATGCAAAGAAGGATTTATTTGTTTCCTTTTATTGAAAAAAATACTTATCTATCTATCTATTTATTTGCTTTATTTCTACACCACTCCATCTCACCCTGAGGGGGACTCGGAGCAGCTTCCAATTATGGCAAACATTCAATGCTGCAAATATACAAAGATCAAGCAAAACTTACACAATGAACCATTAAAATCAATTAACCTATACATACAAATTTAAAACCAATTAAAACATGTAAAACATATAAAATATAGCACCCGAATTGTCAGCCAGATTACTTCTTATATGGGATCCCATATAGGATGAACTGCAACATTTTTAAAAATAATTAGCAAAGACAATGAGCATTGTTTGTAATTACATTTCTTTCCAGGGTCATCTCTTCCCCTTGAGTCTGGTGGGAATATGTGGTCCACACAAGTCCATATACTGCCCTAATGTTAACACATTAACTCCAAGCTTGCACAGTATCTGGTATATGAGTGTCTGCCTCTTGTGTATAGCCCTTCTCTATTGTGGTGAAAAGATAGATTCATTGCAACATTTTACATGGTGAATTCTGGCACATTTGAGTTTGCAAAATAACTGCTTTTTTCTGGCCTGGGACTCAAATTAACTCATCTTCCTCAGAATGTAGTATGTTTAGCTCTAATTGATCCTGTTGTCATAAAGTGATGCATAGCAGATGTTCCTTCATACAAAAAATAAAATGCACTAATGTCGAGCAAAGTGGAACAGGGACAAGTCTTTTTATTTGGCTTTGTGTTTTCTTAGCTGCCAGGTAGTGGCAGTTTGAAGCGTGTCTTCAGCCCCAAGGTTTTGTCAATATCTTCCACTGGCTGCAAGGTGTGCCACTGTGCCACAGGCCTGCGGGCATTGGCCAACATGTCTGACCAGTGGCGCAGCTGGTTGCCTGTTGCTCGGCAGCCAAGGAACAGTTTTCCAATCTGATCATCCTTGGTCATTTTGTCAGCATCCCAGATGGAAATCACCAGGTCAATGTTCTAGAAAGAAGGCACAAAGAAGTGGCATAGAAATGAGATGCAAAATACAAAAGACCAGGAAGGAGTTGAAGTTCAAAGAAAGATGTTTTTACAGATCAGGTATTATATGTTGCAAGTATATCCCTTTCCAACAAAATTGGTTGTCTAAAATGGCATTCTTGAGAAGCAGTTTGGGGGATGAGGGTTCATTCAGTATATACTGAAACATTTCCTGAATAGCAACAGGCTGGACTGAATGGCCCTTGTGGTTTCCTCCAACTCTATAATTCCATTATTTAATAACCGTCATCATATTGCTACCAAGCATATAGCCCTCCAGATGTTGTTGAACTGCATCTCCCATAATTTCTCACTGGCAGTGATGGGAAAGGCTGCAATTCCCCACTTCTGATTGATATAATATACAGTACAGTCTTGCTTATCCAATATAACGGGCCGGCAGAACATGGGATAAGCAAAAATGTTGGATAATATGGAGAGATTAAGGAAATTACATTATGATTTTACAAATTAAGCACCAAAACATCATGTTTTACAACAAATCAAGAGAAAAAGCAGTTCAGTACATGGTAACATTATGTAATAATTACTGTATTTATGAATTTAGCACCAAAACATCACAATGTTTTGAAACAGCGGTGGATCTGGGCAGGAGGCAGATTGCATTGGATAATACAGAACATTGGATGAGTGAATGTTGGATAAGCGAGACACTACTATAATGTGCATGTTTAGTAGTCATCTGTATTAATGGATTCTAACTCCTATAAGCCCTAGACAAAAGTGACAGTGATGAGGTATTATGGGAGCTGCAGTCCAACATGTCTGGAGGACTGTAATTGTCTATTCTGGTTGATGCCAATCTCACACATAAATAAATGCATTCATTCACAGATATGTATACATATACTGGTTGGGGCAGAACAACAGCTCTGCTACATCTTTTGCTATGTTTTGAAAATGGATTAACTGTTTATATGTTGGTTGAATTTGTTCCTTAAACTTCAAACTTTGATACTACAGAATACATGATCAAAACCAATTCATTTTCATTTGTATTGTGAGCCATTTTGGTCTCATTTTGAGAGAAAGATAGGACATACTCAAACAAACACATAAACAAACTGTTAGCCCCCATCTCATCCAGAAAAAAACACAGGAGTAAAAACTCTTGAAGCAGGCTTTTCCTCTCGCAATTGCAGGTCTTTAAGCTGATAGCAATGTCTACTAGGTGAATCTCATGGTTTTCAGAAACATGACTGGTTGGTGCCACGTCTGCTGTTCGGACTTTTTTAAAAAAATATATTGTCTCCATTTTTAAATGTACAAAATGTGGCAAATGTGCAAGAAGAAAAGGCAGAGCAAATATAAATGCAGAAGCAAATGCATTTCTAAGCATTTGAGGTAAGCTAAGAAGGATGAATAGAATGGGATGTACTTATGTCAACTACGTAGAAATCCAAGAGCATCATCCTGCTGACCATGCCATCATACTTATTATTTTTCAAAGTTACCTTCAAAGTTTCTCCACACAAGTATAGTTCACTATAAACAGAATAGTCCTTGTTAGCAGGACTGAGCTCTGCAGAAGATTCCCCTACTATGAAGTCAGACATTCTCAGACCTAGAAAACTCCATGATAGAGTCATCTTAGGGTTGCTAGAAGTTGGATACAAGTATCCACCATCGATGTAGAAGACATACCTGGATCAGATGAAAAGGCACATCAAAAATAAATGCTTCGTTGAAGTAGGGACTTAAAGTATTTTTCTTTATACTTGTCTTCTTTTTCTTCCACTTCTTTTTGTTCAAAATAAGTTGCACTTTGACATAGGGATCTGGGTTATTTGGAAGAAGAGCCAGAAATATTTAAATGTAAAATGGAATGGTCCTATTGTTCACTAAATCTCCCACTGTAAGTTCTTTTTAATGTAAGCTAATTTGTAATGCCACCCCATCCACCCCCGCCAAACACCAAGTTCGATACAAGATTTCTTTTGGATGTTCAAGACAAATCTTAGTTTCAAATGCATGGATGGGCAATGTGAAGATCTATAGACTACAGGCCCCACAATCCCCAGCCAGGGAAGCCAATAGTCAAGGTTAATGGGAATTATGCCCAAAGAAAATCTGAGTCCTAACTACACTACACAATTATAATGGTATGATTCCAAATGCTGCTCTGAGATCTTTGGAAGCAAATAAGATCAGTCCCGACAAAACCAAACATCCTTACAGTTTACTTGATTCCCCTTTTCTAGGATGAATGGAGAGATAGGGAGCGATACAAATAAAGTATATCATCATCATCATCATCTGCCCCAAACCATTGTGATATAAAAGTGACTTGAGGTGTTACTTTTAGGACAACAACTTTAAAAATCTTTCCAATCAACATCCTGCTGACTTTGTGAGTTGCAGTCCAAAATGTAACAAATCTTTAGGATGTGGCTATAAATACTGGTAGTCATAAACAAACATATGCTCTTTCATGACAGATTGGATACCCTTGCAGTTCTTATAACAGGGGCCTAAGATATGTTTTTTTTTCTTTTTCTCAAAGGTGGTTAGAAGTCAAATCAAGACAACTCATATAATGTTGCATTTGGTGGAGAAGGGTTCTCAGCTTCTACACACCTATTGAACAAGTTACATTAATGGTCTTTGTCTGTGCCATATTATTTCATTCTGTGCCATCAGCTTCAACATGCCTTTCCTATTACCTGACAATCCATTTGGATCCATCCGCTTGAGCTTTTTCGCCTCTAAGATGACCACAGTTAATTTGCCGGTACTGGGAATGTAACGGAGGGAAATGCAAATCTCTCCCAGATGCTCTTGCTATTATTTAAGAAAAAAGAAAGAAAGAAGTGAGAAGGATGAGTCCTGTTCCTCAAAAAAACTGCCAAGAGGAGGTGATCCAAAAGACCTAAGTGCCCAAGGCTACATTGGAACCATTCTCTTTATCCCAAAAATCTTTCTTTTCATCTGAAAATAATTGCAGAGGGGTTGGGAGATTGCAGCAGTAAAAGAAAGACAAGCCACATACACAGAAGTGCTCCTCTCTCGTATCAGTTTAATGGTGGTGAAAGATGGCAGTCTCTCTCTTTAGGGGAGATAATAGAATGTGTTGATGACACTGTCCAATGCTTAAAGGTGTGAAAAGAGACCAGAAATAAGTTTGATCAAATTTCCAGATTTTAAAACCAATGCAGGAATGGGTGCTCCTGTTTTAATAAGAGCAATGATAACCTTCCCCCTCTCATAAAGCTGATATCAGCCCTCCTGGAAGGAAAATGCAGGAAGCATGCAAGTATGTTGACTGCAACAGTAAGACTAACTACAGCCTATGGAGATGATTTTAATTTAACGCAGGAAAATGTTATGGGGAACAGTTTTTGTGCTCTTCTCACAACATTGCTGTTCCATTCTAAATGAAGACCTGTTTAATTGTTTTATTTTAAATTCATGCAAACATATGGGGAGATCAGGTCTTCATAATTCTCTGAGAGCCTTTAACAAACAATGCATCTACTTTAAAGTCAGGCACAAATGCAGAGCTTGGAAACTTTTTTTCACTTCAGTTCCCATAATCCCCTGCCAGAACACCAAAAAAAAAAACTTCTCCAAGCTCTGTACAAATCTGTAATGTGTTCATCTACAGGACAAATAAAATTTTCTGAAATGATTTAATGATTATTTGAACATGATTCAGTCACCTTTCTTGTCTCCCACTTTTTTCATGTTTCAGGCAAGCTGGCTGCCTTCCCCAGATACAAGAGCTTAGGTAGGTGGGTAAACAGACAGGCAGGCAGGCAGGCAGATGAAGCAATTTGTAGATTTATTGGACTGGATTTTTCTTTTATTGCATAAAACCTTAAAGCACCACTTCATTGAGAAGAAAGATTTGCGATCTCCCTGGCATCAACCAGTCAATTCTGTTCAGAGACAGCTTGTGCTAAAAGACATATAAAATGAATGTTCCCTGAGCTTAAATGTGAAAAAATGGAGGCTTCCAGACATACAAAGGGAAATCATTTTGTTTTTAAATATAGCTGGAGGTCTTTTATTGCCAGATCATTGCCAGATACTGCCCTCTAGGGGAGCTCAACTTCTGAAATAGTAATATGCCAGTAATAAGTCAGTAGTGTTCCCTCACTACTTCATGGTTTGCTTTTCGTGGACTCGCTGTTTCATGGTTTTTTGCCTCCCAGTTTATGAATGGTTGCCATTGCCCAGAGCAGCATTCTGATCCTGCCTCCTGGCAATGATAGAGTGTGGAAGGGAGTTTCACCCTCCCCCTTGGGAGAGAGGTAGCCAATGAAGAGAGATTGCAAAGCAAAGCAGAGATAGCTAGCCAAAAAAAAAAAAGTGCGCAGTGCCTTTAAATCTCTCCCTGCTTCTGCCTCACCCTCAGAACTTGATATACATATAGCATCCTTAGCATCCTTACTCCAGCAAAGGATCACCGCCTTGTCGGGGCGCTGGAGCTTGAGCACCTCAATGATGTCATGAGCGAAACCGTGAAGGGACACCCAAGACGGGACGGTTGTGGCAGAGAGGTCAGACCAAGCGTGATCCCTGGAGAAGGCAATGGCAAACCACTCCAGTATCCTTGCCAAGAAAACTAAATGGACCAGTACAACCAGAGATATGTCGGTATGCCATTGGAAGATGGGACTCCCAGGTCGGAAGATGGCCAAAATGCTACTGGGGAGGAGCAGAGGATAAGTTCAACTAGCACCAGATGTGATGACGCAGCTAGCTCAAAGCCGAAAGGAAGGCTAGCGGCCGACGGTACTGGAGGTGAACGACGAATCCGATGCTCTAAAGATCAACACACCATAGGAACCTGGAATGTAAGATCTATGGGCCAGGGCAAATTGGATGTTGTTATTGGTGAGATGTCAAGACTAAAGATAGACATTCTGGGGGTCAGCGAACTGAAGTGGACTGGAATGGGCCACTTCACATCAGATGACCACCAGATCTACTACTGCGGACAAGAGGAACATCGAAGAAATGGAGTAGCCTTCATAATTAATAAGAAATTCGATAAAGCGGTGCTTGGATACAACCCAAAAAATGACAGAATGATCTCAATTCGAGTGCAAGGAAAGCCTTTCAACATTACAGTGATCCAAATATATGCCCCAACCACAGCTGCTGAAGAAGCAGAAGTAGATCAGTTCTATGAGGATCTGCAGGACCTACTGGATAATACACCAAAAAGAGACATTATTTTCATTACAGGAGACTGGAATGCCAAGGTGGGAAGTCAAATGACAACAGGGATCACAGGCAAGCATGGTCTGGGAGAACAAAATGAAGCGGGACGCAGGCTGATAGAATTTTGCCAGGAAAACTCGCTGTGTATAACAAACACTCTCTTCCAACAACCTAAAAGACGGCTTTATACATGGACCTCACCAGATGGTCAACACCGAAATCAGATTGACTACATCCTTTGCAGCCAAAGGTGGCGGACATCCATCCAGTCGGTGAAAACAAGACCTGGGGCTGACTGTAGCTCAGATCTCGAACTTCTTATTGCACAATTTAGAATAAAACTAAAGAGATCAGGGAAAATACACAGACCAGTTAGATATGATCTCACTAACATTCCTAGCGAATATACAGTGGAAGTGAAGAACAGATTTGAAGGACTAGATTTAGTAAACAGAGTCCCAGAAGAACTATGGACAGAAGTCCGCGACATTGTTCAGGAGGCGGCAACAAAGTACGCCCAAAGAAAAAGAAAACCAAGAAGGCAAAATGGTTGGCTGCTGAGACACTGGAAGTAGCCCAAGAAAGGAGGAAAGCAAAAGGAAACAGGGATAAGGGGAGATATGCCCAGTTAAATGCGCAATTCCAGAGGTTAGCCAGAAGAGATAAGGAACTATTTTTAAATAAGCAATGCATGGAAGTTGAAGAAGACAACAGAATAGGAAGGACAAGAGACCTCTTCCAGAAAATTAGAAACATTGGAGGTAAATTTCAGGCAAAAATTGGTATGTTAAGAAACAAAGATGGCAGGGACCTAACAGAAGCTGAAGAGATCAAGAGAAGGTGGCGAGACTATACAGAAGATCTGTATAGGAAGGATAATAATATTGAGGATAGTTTTGACGGTGTGGTGAATGAATTAGAACCAGACATCCTGAGGAGTGAGGTTGAATGGGCCTTAAGAAGCATTGCTAACAACAAGGCAGCAGGAGACGACAGATCCCAGCTGAACTGTTTAAAATCTTGAAAGATGATGCTGTCAAGGTGATGCATGCCATATGCCAGCAAATATGGAAAACACAAGAATGGCCATCAGACTGGAAAAAATCAACTTATATCCCCATACCAAAAAAGGGAAATGCGAAAGACTGCTCAAACGTCCGTACAGTGGCCCTTATTTCTCATGCCAGTAAGGTAATGCTCAAGCTCCTGCAAGGAAGACTCCAGCAATACATGGAGCGAGAGTTGCCAGATGTTCAAGCTGGGTTTAGAAAAGGCAGAGGAACGAGAGACCAGATTGCCAATATCCGCTGGATAATGGAGAAAGGCAGGGAGTTTCAGAAAAACATCTACTTCTGCTTCATTGACTATTCTAAAGCCTTTGACTGTGTGGATCATAATAAATGGTGGCAAGTTCTTGGTGGGATGGGCATACCAAGCCACCTTGTCTCTCCTGAGGAATCTGTACAAGGACCAAGTAGCAACAGTCAGAACTGACCACGGAACAACAGACTGGTTCAAGATTGGGAAAGGCGTACGGCAAGGCTGCATCCTCTCACCCAACCTTTTTAACTTGTATGCAGAACATATCATGCGATGTGCAGGGCTTGATGAATGCAAGGCTGGGGTGAAAATTGCTGGAAGAAACATTAACAACCTCAGATATGCAGATGACACCACCCTGATGGCCGAAAGCGAGGAGGAGCTGAGGAGCCTTCTAATCAAGGTGAAAGAAGAAAGCGCAAAAGCCGGGTTGCAGCTAAACGTCAAAAAAACCAAGATTATGGAAACAAGAATGATTGACAACTGGAAAATAGAAGGAGAAACCGTGGAGGCCGTGACAGACTTTGTATTTCTAGGTGCAAAGATTACTGCAGATGCAGACTGTAGCCAGGAAATCAGAAGACGCTTACTTCTTGGGAGGAGAGCAATGTCCAGTCTCGATAAAATAGTGACGAGTAGAGACATCAGACTGGCAACAAAGATCCGCCTAGTCAAAGCCATGGTATTCCCTGTAGTCACCTACGGATGTGAGAGCTGGACCTTAGGGAAGGCTGAGCGAAGGAAGATCGATGCTTTTGAGCTGTGGTGTTGGAGGAAAGTGCTGAGAGTGCCGTGGACTGCGAGAAGATCCAACCAGTCCATCCTCCAGGAAATAAAGCCCGACTGCTCACTGGAGGGAAGATACTAGAGACAAAGTTGAAGTACTTTGGCCACATCATGAGGAGACAGGAAAGCCTAGAGAAGACAATTATGCTGGGGAAAGTGGAAGGTAAAAGGAAGAGGGGCCGACCAAGGGCAAGATGGATGGATGGCATCCTTGAAGTGACTGGACTGACCTTGAGGGAGCTGGGGGTGGTAACGGCCGACAGGGAGCTCTGGCGTGGGCTGGTCCATGAGGTCACGAAGAGTCGGAGACGACTGAACGAATGAACAACAACAACATCCTTATTTCATGGATTTTCACCTTTCCCGGGTGGTCCTGGAACATAACACCTATGATAAGTGAGGGAACACTTAGTACCATATTTATTCAAGTATAATATGCCATCTAATGTAATGCACACCTCAATTTTGAAAGTGTACATTACAAAAAAAGGATTTTCTGTTGATTGTAGTGCACCGAGTGTTATAAGTTTATATGTAAACAGGATTCCACACACCTTCACCAGCCTTGCATGTTTCCCTTCTAAACTGGGGGGGGGGGGGGTTAATGGCCTCATGGATGAGGCCAGTTGGGAAGTGCCCACTTCCTTCTCTCTCGCTCTCTTTGCTGCCTGCATCCCTGAGACAATGGTGCAGGCAAGGTTACATCCGGGAGGCAGACAGTAGAACATTCAACAGGCAAGGGAAAGCCATGGCTCTCCATCAGACCAAGCTACCAGGCTGCTGGCCAAGGTCAGGAGGTGAGGCAGTTGCTGAGCTAGTGATTAATCCAATGGGAGAGAAGGAGGAGGTGACAGCAACGGCCGCAAGATATCTGCACCAGGCTACGTTCTCAGACTGCCAGGTGAGTGACTGACTGGACATGAGAGGGAGGAGAAGGAGGTGATGGCAGCAGCATCAAGGCGGCACCAACATAGAACATGCAAGAGAGCAGGAAACAGGCAGCATTACATGCACAATTCTAATGCCCCATTGAATCTAATGCACACTTCATTTTTGGTGATGTAATTCAGACAAAAAGTGTGCATTAGACTGAGGTAAATATGGTAATTTGAGTATTGGAGTAGGACTCTGGAAGACCAGGGTAAAACTCCCTGTCCAGCCGTGGAACCCACTGGACAAGTCACAAACTCTCAGCCTTAAAGGAAGGTGATGTGAAGGTCCCTCCATTAGACCGCTGTGGTTACGTTCTGAGCATTTTGTTCTGAAAGGGCCTTTCATTACCCTATTTAATGGCCCGACTTTGACCTTTAAAGCCATCATGACCTAGATTCAAATTCTTTGAAATATCACTTGTCTGCATATGTACTTAAGTGTGCTTTAAGGCCAACGTCCAATGGTCCCAAGTGGAGTAATCCCAATGGAACACACCTAAGAGTTGAATCACTGAGAATGTCTAGGATTACAACCTAGTATGCAGTAGTTATTGATGTGCAATTGTAGGTTGGCTCATAAATCTCTTTGATGTTTTGTACATATATCTTGATGGGGATGTAGTGTGATGAGGATTTACTCTAACTGGAATTAGTAATTGCATTTAGGTCTAAGATTTTCATCAAAGGACCTCATTTTAAGGAAAGGCAAGTGACCAGGAAACTGGTACAACAGAGCTACACATTTAGGCTTGAAACTCACAGGGCAGAATTTAATAATGCCTTTTCTGTTGGGATGGCTGGTTTTGAGGTTTTAATTAAATCATTTCCATTTGATTGATGTTTAATTAATTTTCTCTCATCTTGATTTTGTTTAGGAAAAGGTCATTTCCCCTATTTGAAATTATAATGACGTAAGGATAAAAACAATACAAATGGACTGAATTATACAGGAGTCGATATTTAATGGGTATAATGGTGAAATCCCCAGATGCTGCTAAATGTGTCACTATATTATGAGATGATTTGCTCCCCACCTCTCCCAGTTACAAACCTCAATCTTGCTCGCTGCTGTGAGCTCGTGCCATTGCTCCATGACATGCTGCAGGTCCACATCGCCAAGAGGCAAGCGCATCTCACCAATGATGTCATGCTTCGAAAAGCGGTTGAAATCATACACCTGCATCACCAGTGTGTTTTCAGCTACATCTCCCTGAGGTATCTGGAGAGAAGGAGAAAGCAGTCTGATTTCCATATTTCTGTAGCAGGATCCAATGATGGCCATTTCACTGTGGTGGTGAATCCACTCTAGGGTTCAGGCTGAATATTACAAGAAGTAATCAAGGTACTTAACCTATCTTTTGGGGATTACAGTTCAGCAATTTGGGCAGATCCTTTATTTCTGGATGGATATCCTTCTGAAGTTACATAACTGATGAAATCACTTCCCCGACTATACAAGATGCAAGTCTTCCCATCATAAGGATATATAGTTTGTCTGATTGAATTGGACCCAAGGTCCATCTTGCTGGTTTTTCTCCTTCCCTTTCCCTTCCTCTTTCTTTCTTTCTTTCCTTCTTTCTTTCGGCTGACTAGGACTCAAGGCAGCTAACATATGATAGTTAAAATCTAACAATACATTTAAAAACACATTAACACATTTCATCTATCTGTAAATAATTATTTTTGAAGGATACAAAAGTTTAAAATGTAAACAAATATTTATTATTATTATTTTCACATGGTCAGAATTTATAATAATGATCCCCATGTCTTGAGCATTAAGGATTATGTAGCTGTATGAACATTTCACAGAACATATTCATCAGAACAGACCATTTTGATTACATAATGACAAATGAATCCCATATTCCAATCCCATATTCCACTAATATGGAAGTTGCCCAATTGATTTCAATAGCTTATCAAAATTAGATTCATCATAGCAATTATTTGGCCATTTGAATAGACATAATCTTGTGGGAGTCAATTAAACGACAATGTTCACTGGGTAGTTTTGAAGATTTCACCCAAAGATCTTTCTGTGTTTCCAATATGATGCAGTCAGATATACTTGTTGTAACATTGAACTCAGCAGAAGTAAAACAATCCACTCACATGAAAAACGAAGCTCTCATTGAAAACTGGGTTGAGTGTCTTACGGTAAACCTTGGTCTCATATTTCTTCCTTGTATCAGATGTCAGGTAGACAATCACATAAGGGTCAGAGGTACCTCCACTGTCCATGGCCTTCAGATCTGCTGCCTGCTTTACACCAACCTTCATCTGAAAGAGAATGCCAAAAATATTAACATTATTAGGCAGAAATGCACATTTGGATACTCTCAGATACTACAGAAAATAGCTATAAACAGAGTGGAAAAATGAATGAGCAAAAGCAGGTAGCTTAAAAAAAACAATTTCAAGTTACAAAGCATGGGAAGGAATCAGATGTATGACTACAAAAGTTAGGCATATATTTCAATCAATCACTAAATTTATACCCCACTTTTTCATACAACTGGGATTCAAAGTAGGTTGCATTTTAAAAAAATGCAAATAAAGACACAGATAGCTAAAACATACAAAAATAAGTTTAAAATGTTTTAAACCAACTGTAAATTAATCATTTCAAGTTTATACTAAGAAATATTACAGCATTTTAACACAGAAAGTCCTGGAAATGTGAAATAGTTGGCTCCCAGATACATGCTAAAACATAAAGGTTTCCATCTGTTTGTGAGACAGTAATGGAACTAAAATCAACACAGCTAAGAGTTAGGTGGAAGATAATGGAAAGCCAATAGGTAGTGATTCCAATGGCTTCCCTGTCAGTAAGGTGACAAGTATTCCCAAGATCTTAGGGTACATCTACCCCGCAGAATTAATTCAGTTTGACACCACTTTAACAATCTGGGCCTAATGCTATGGAATTATGGAAACTCTAGTTTTACAAGGTCTTTGGTCTTCTCTGCTAAAAGGTGCTGGTGCCTTACCAAACTTCCAGGATTCTCTAGCACTGAATCAGAACAAAGTACAATAATTCCACAGTGTTGATGCACCCTTGGTCCAAATTTGAATTGATCTATTCAGGTTGGTGAATATCACCTGAAGACAAAATTTAGTACTTTGGACAGCTTCTTTAAAATGTGATCAAAAACCCAAAGTGGATTTACTGCTGACATAATGTGGATGCTGCTGCCACCCTTGTCAATGGGAAAGATACTGCAGGGACTGTTAGAACTTGGAAATATTACCTTTCAAAAAATTTCAACTCCCTAGAATTCTGGGCGGAAAATTAAAAAGGAATGTTTTGACGCACTATGGATTAATAATTAAGTAGAGTGGCTATATCAAAACAAAGGATCTGAAAGAGTGGGAGGAAAAAAAGTCCTGTTTGATAATTTAAAAAGGAATACACGTATTTCACCTTACGGTTAGTGAATCAATACCTCTTGGCTACGGAAGTCGTATTCCAGGGAATATTGCAGCCGTCCTCGTTTTTCTTCTTCATTTCCACACTCAATGTCTTCCAAATCAGGCTGGACCTAGAGCAAGAGAATAGCATCCTCTTATTACAATAAAGTTAAATCTCAGTAATTAAAACAGAAGAGGGAGCTTGCTCATTGCATTACAACTCTGTCAGATTGACAGATTGCTTGCTCTTGGAAGCCGAATACCAGCTGAAAGTCTCTAACAGGTTTGTCAGGGGCAGTAAGCACACTTCAAGTGAGATATTAACGAGGAGCCATTTGTGAACTAAGCAGGGGAAATCATAGCTGTACAGGATGCCATCAATGAACACCAAAAGCAAAGGAATGGACATGAAAAAATTGGGTTATATCCCAAAGCAAGCTCCAATAAAATGTCTGGATTTCTCTTTCCCAGATTAGATTGGTCTGATATAGAAAAGTGCTCTATGGTAAGATTCTGACCATACATTTGTGCTGGAGATCACTAGAAAGAATACTTCCAGTGAAAGTTGGCCATAGAGTCCCACTGGAGGACCTAGAGATTCCTTGAAAAGTGTTCTATCAAGAAGCAAAGTGTTTTTAATTGTTTTTGTTATTATTCAAATGTGACTGACATCAACAAGGGAGAGGGGATTTTCAGTGGCTGCCCTAATTCTATGAAACACCCTCCCAAAAGAAATTAAAACAGTTCCCTCCCTTTTTTCCCTTGAAGAACCAATTTAAAACTTTCCTGTTTAGACAGGCCTTTAGTGAAGGAAACTAAGCTGGAGTTATAAGAAAAACCATAATGTTTATGGACTGGAACAAAGTGCAGTATGATCTGACATGATGCCACAAGAATGTGAATGTGTATATTGAGGACTTCCGGTGCACGAAAGATGGCAAGGAGACGGACACTCTAGAGCGCTAAAGAGTGTCACCCCTGACCAGGACGACCGGGTAGAGCATAGCTCCCTTCCCTACCGCGGATTGAAACGGAGGGAACAGCGGAACCGGGGGGGTCGCCGATGGTCTAAAAGGGGGTCCTCTCCTCAAGAGGGGATCACCAAATAGACCCGGCAAGATCCCCCGAGGTACGGCGGGTCGTGGCAGGGCGATCGGGACTGGGAACGGATCCGAACCCATCCTTAGCCGCGTGCATTTTAAATGGAGAGAAGCAAGGAATGGAAAGAAAAAGTAAGTGAAAACAAGTAAAGGATTTGAAGAGGAGGGTGGGGACCCCTTCCAGAGAAGGAAGGAAGACACAGAAGGACCTAGATATAAAACAAGAAACAGACGGAACTCCGGGAGAGAGAGAATAAAATAAAAATAAAAATAAGAAAGATCAGAAAGAGCAAGAGGAAGTAAGGAGGGAAACTCCCGAAAACTCCGAAAGCATCTTAACAAAACTAATAAAATAATCAAATAATCAAATAATCACGAAACAAATAAGCAAACAAAATAAGAATTAAACGGATCTAAACGGGAAGGGTGGAGAAGACGAAAGAAAAGGGAAAGACTCTACTTAAAGACACTATTTAAAGGATTTAAAGGATCTCCTGATAAAGTAAATAGAGAATACCGGGCAAGTAAATAAAATATAAAGAAAATTTGACTGACCTTGAAGCACATTGTTGTGTCTACGAAGAAAATAAACAGAAGGGAAGGAAACTTCGCGAGAATAGAAGGGACAAACGGGAGAAAACGAGAAATTGAGAGGGAACGAAGAAAGATCGCGAGACGGAACAAGGATCGCGAGAAAGAGTGAGAAAATAAGGGAGAAAACGGGACCTAGAAAGTAAACAGGAGAGTGCGTGAAAGATCGCGGGAAAGACGGGAGGAGGCTGGAAAAAGCGAGACTTGGAAAGCAGGAACAGGAAGAGCGCAGCAGGTCAAAAGTGAGAATAAAAGGAACAATACAAAAGGTCTGAAGGACGGAGGAGGCAGAAGCAGACGGAAAACAGAGGAGAGGGAAGGAAGACTAAGAGATTCAAGAAAAAGACTCCCAAAAGAGAAAGGAGAGGAGTGAAGGGAGAACACGGAGGAGCTGCAATATAACGCTAAGGAACTTGCGGAAGGAGGGAAGAAAGGTAAAAAGAACCCACGCATAAGCGGGAATTATATATATATAAGAAAGAAAGAAAGAAATAATAAATATTAACAAATACAAACAATAGCTGAATAACAATAATAATAATAACAAGAACAAACAAATAAACAAATAAGTAATAAAGTAAGCAGAAAATAACAATAAATAAAATAAACAAAACAAAATAAAACAGGTACAAATAACAATAATAATAAATAAATAATAACAAAAAAGAAATAAAATAACTAACACACATCCTCATAAATATAAATATTAGAAACAAAATTTGACAAAGTCTTAACAGGGGTGGACTGAAAAACGTAATAATCAACAAGTGGGAAGCTTTTTTATATATAAAAAGGAAATCAACAGCTGATAGAAGTAGAAACTACACTGACATATTACTTACTTGCAGATACTGATTTTAATACAGAAAAGACAACTACCAAGACAAATGGCGACCACAATGAAACTAAAGAATGGAAAGGAGATACAAACACAAATACCTAAGAATGGGAGAGACCCCAAAGAACTTAAAGAGATGAAAGAAACACCAAAAGATAAAGACAAAGATAAAGACAAAGATAAAGAGACCAAGGAAGGCGCAACGCCCAACAATATCACCGGTTCAAGTAATGTGGGTAGAAGACTCTCTATAGGTGAAGACACAAAGTTGAAAGAATTACTGAAGGAAATAAAGGCTATAGGAAAGGAATTGACAGAAATGAATGAAAAACAAGATGCATATCAGAAGGTAGCCCAAGAACAGATGGCTGAATTGAGGAAAGAAATCAAGGAAGAGCTAGGAGCAATGAAAAGAGATGCAGATATAATGAAAGAGGAAATAAAACAACTGCAAATGAAGAATAAAGAGGGGGAAGAAAAACAATCCTCAACACAGACAAGAATAAAGACACTGGAAACAATGAATCAAAAACTATTAACCAGGCAAGAGAACCTAGAGATGACAGAGACAGAATTTCAATTACGCCTCAGAAACATAAGAGAAGAAGAGAACGAAGACATAAGAGAGAAAACTACAGAAATATTAGCAGAATTACTACAATGTACGACACAATACATGGATGATCAGATGGATAGAGTCTTCAGAGTGAACACGAATTTCGCAAGAAAAAATAAAACTGACCGAGACGTGATAGCACAGTTCACAAGAAGGGTGACCAGAGACGAAATCCTAAGAACAAGCAACAGAAGAGTAATCTGCTATAAAGATAAAAGAGTGGTGATCCTGAAGGAATTCCCAGGACCGGTGATTAATAACAGAAGAAAATATGCTTTCCTCACGGAAGAACTGAAAAAACAAGGTATTAGATACAGATGGGAAAAAGACGAAGGATTGATGACAACGCATAATGGACAAAGACATTGGATAAAAACGGTGGAAAAGGCAAAAAGATTCTATAATGAAATAGTAAAAGAAAGAGAAGAAGGAGGAGAAGGAACAAATTCAAAACATAAAGAAATACAACAACATACAATAGTGATCGAAAAGGACAACCCGGACCCCAGGAAGAATAAAAAAGATTGGAGAACAAGAATGTGAATGTATATTATTGTTGTTTTAAATTGTTATTTTATGGTGTTTTATACTTATTATCAATGTATTTGGATTGTTGTTTACATGATTTTAATATGTTGTAATCCACTTTGGGTCCATATGGGAGAAAAGCAGGATATAAATAAACATTTATTATTATTTATTATTATAAGAGGCCATTGTGTTGGCAATTTAGCAACAGATATTTGAAATTCTTCTGTCTAATGAGCTACACTGAAATTCCTTAGGATGTAACCATGGTTGTTTGAAGGTGAATTTCTAGTTCTATTACTATGGAGTGTGAAAGGGCCCCAGGTCTTGGAAAATGTCTCACTCTCTTACAGATATCTTTACTTTGGTGCATAGCATATCCCTCTAAGGCACAATCCTGCTGCTCCTGAAAAAGACTGTTTATACTCTCATAAACATGGCACTGGAATCCAAGCAGTAGTTAAGGTTTGATCATTCCCAGTGATCACAACTTGTCAGACGGTTGTTGATTAGTTTCAGTGACTTTTACTTCCTTATTTTTGTCAGAAGGAGGAAGCATTAGAAATTCAGCCAAGTCAGCTACCAATCTCAGGCTTTGCTGAGACCAGCTAGATTGCCCTACAAAGGTGTCTTCCTGCCCCATTCTACTGATAGATCCATACAACTTCATTCTGTTAACTCTCATCAGACTGTGATGAAAACATTCAGGAGGAACTACTGAGAATTTACTGAAATTTTTTCACTTTGTGAAATCTCATTTCAAGTTTTGCCTCAAGATTCACCATGTTTTTTATTCTTGCTCTTGTTTTACTATAGAGAAGAGAACAGTGAGAAAACATACCAGACTTTTTATAGTGGAAGAACCATTGATGCTAGTCATGTCGATTTTTGCCTTCTTCTTGCGTTTCTTCCTGCAGCAACAGTACTTGATGATGCAGATGAGGAGGAGGAGGAGGACCAGACCCACTGCAATCACAATGGCTATGAGAGCCCATCTTGGCACTGTTCAAGAACCAAAGGAGATACAGTGTTCATTCTTAGTTTTTATATAAACAGCTTCGCTCAAAGCCAGTCAACACCCACTGGGATTTCTGGCATCACCTTCAAGCACCAGGAAGTACCATTTAAAAATTCTAGACAGAAATGTCAAAAATTAAGCACCATTGTTCTGTTGGTACTTTCAGAGCTTGAAAGTAACAATGGTATAATTACATTAAACAATGCCTGTGGTTTTATTGGCTACTGTGTACTGGCAAAATGAGAGCGGAAGCTGGGCAAAAGGGTAAAATAGTCATATAATATAGTAATGGTGAGATGGCAGTGAAATATGTTGCTTTTATGTTTATAGAGGGCTGGCCTCACTGGTGGGTGGGAGGAAAGAAGGGAAGAGAAATGACTACATAATGAATTAGTTTTTGAGCCTATAACTATCGTGTTAAATAAGTATTTGAGCCTTGTACTCAAACTGTAAGTAATTACATTTCTTTTTAAAAGCACTGGGTGCTTTCCATACAGTTTTTATTTCAGTCACATGATACATTACTAGTATCACCATCAAAGCTAGGAAATGTTACACCCCTGGACTATATTTCCATTGGCCATGCTGGTTGAAGACTTCTGGCAGTTCTAGACCCCCAAAGTATTTTCCCCTAAGCTCTACCACACTTGAATGTGCCTATCACAGCACTTTCAAAAGTAACCAGTGGCATTCTACTTTATGGTATATGTATTTCCAACCAATTATCACAATGACTTCCACCAGGTGGCAGAGTTAGTCACTGTGTCAGTTCCCTTTTTCCTTGACGGATATCTGTTTGAGGGAATGTTGGAAGGCACATCTGTGTAAAACATGTAAAATGAACAGCCAAGCAATATTTTCTCTTGCCTTACATTACCAGAGACAATTTGTAAAACAATAAATGAGAAACTGGAAACACACTGGTGGCCATACTTTGTTGCCGATGGCCATAGATTTCTGGGGAAAGCTTTACTATGCCCCTTTCTTGTTTTCAAAATGCACCTAGGTTCTTTTTATAGGCAAAAGTCTGCTTCACAATTATCCTTACACATCCGTTATAGTTATTCCATCATAGTCTTTATGGCTGGGCTGGTCAGAGTAGCCTGAGCACGCCCAGATTCTTTTTCAGCCTTTAGCCCATACAAACTGCACAAATTATTTTGTCATTGTGCGCAACAACAAAGAAAAGCAGCAAATTGATCAAAACCCCTGGACAATGGCAGACTGGGTCTAAAAAAACTGGAGACAAAAGTGGCCCACTCACAATTAAAGATCATTAACATTTTTAACATATTATAAAATGTGTAAAGAGGGCTACTTGCTATTGGGAAAACTGATACTCTGCCCAGCTCCTGAATTTCTTGAAATGATAAAAAATAACTCAAGAAAACTTTGGCTGACTCCCATGCATTTTGAGGAAATGTTTAGGATTTTTTTCTCCCATGTGCACAAGTTTTCTTTTTTTTTTAAGTGTCCATGGAATACATGTTGGACCCTCTTCTTTTCACAGACCCCACTGTCAAAATTGCTGTTGCACTGCCACATTTTGGTGACACGGCAGCAACCAAAGAGGAGGAGGAAGAAGGCATTTCTTTAAAAACAAGGTATAAAAAGAGCACATGCCTTGATTTGAGACAGAATTGTGCTCCTTGGAAGTAACTGTTCTGCAACTAAAATCTGGCCTGTGGTTCGGCCCCCATTATGTGGCACTTTCTTGATGCTGTCTACTCCAAGACCAAGTTTAAAATAATGAATTATATATTTTAAAAAGGAACCTTCTGTGGTGTTGTTAACAGAATTTTCTTATGGCAAGAGATCCTGGCCACAACTGCATCCCAAAGAGTATATGAGTGATATTTCAATAATAAACATTTTTAAATTTGGGTTGTTGTAGGTTTTTCCGGGCTATATGGCCATGTTCTGGAGGCAATTTTTCTCCTGACGTTTCGCCTGCATCTATGGCAAGCGTCTGAGACCTCACTACCTCTGAGGATGCTTGCCATAGATGCCAGGCGAAACGTCAGGAGAAAAATTGCCTCCAGAACATGGCCATGTAGCCCAGAAAAACCTACAACAACCCAGTGATCCCGACCATGAAAGCCTTTGACAATACATTTTTAAATTTGTAGGCTCACTTGAATGCTTGGAAATGCTTGTTCTCAATGACATTTGGGGAGGAAGTAATGAAGATTTTGCTAGGCTTGCATTTGGACATTTAGAAAGAAAGACAAAAATAGACTTTAAAGTAGCCGCAAGGAGAATGTATTCATGCAAATATAAGGATAGGTCTTTCTGAGATACTAATTTCACACTGAGTTATGGGTAGTGGGAGATTTTCTTTTGTTGCTTTCTTTTACATTCTGTGTGTCATTTACACACTTAATAAAAAATTAAATGAAAAAAGAAACAGTCTTCAATGCAAGGCAGCAGGAATGCCTTTGCATTTTCAATACACATTGAGTGGATAGGTTTGAGACAAGCAGATACTGCTACACACAGACACTCCATATACTCCAACAATTCAGCAATGGAACATACTAGGCTTGTTTGATTTAAAAAATGGTTCAAAACTCGCTTCGGATGTAGGGGGTGCTGGTGGTTCGATTTGGAATTGAATTCCAATTTTTTTTCAAAAAGAATTGGAACTTTCCAAAATTTCTGAAACTTTGGAATACTTCATTAATGGCAGACATGCATGTGCAGGAGGAAAAAATGCAGAGAAGGCTATACACTTGCTGGATGGCCTGTCGCCTTCTCCTCCTCCTCCTCCTCCTCCTCCTCCTCCTCCTCCTCCTCTGCATTAACAGGCGAGGCAGGCCTGGAGTGGAAGAGCCCCTCAGTCAGGCTGAAGCCCCTCCGGAGTTGCTTTGCTTGGCTCCCACTGCTGAGCTTCAGCCTGATGAGGGGCTCTTCCACTCCAGGCCTGCCTCGACTGTCAATGAAACCCTGCAAAATGAGCCCACATGGGGACAGGCTTCTCCCCTTGTGATCCACCTTAAAGCTAGCCCCATTCGACCCCCCCCCCCCCAAAAAAAGTTTTCCCAGTTGGGTTTTCTAGGATATCTAGGCAGGTGTCACAGGAAAATGAGGGTTGAGGAACTGAGCATGGAAAAAGCCAAGATCTAGGCAGAAGTTGAAGTGCTATATTTTTGGACTACAATTCCCAGAATCATCCAGGCAGTGTGGTCACAAAGTATAATGTTTTTAGGATCCAAATCTGAGTAGCTGAATATAATGGCAATGAATACACAGGCATAGTCAGGGAGCTCAGGAGGCACATGGCTCACACTACATAAGGAGAAAAAAAGGGGCAGGTTTACAATGGCTGAATGGAGAGGATGAATGGAGAAGAAAGCCTGTGGGTTATGTATCACAAGGGCAGCAGGGCAAGTGGTGCAGGCCACAGCATACAAGAAGAAAAGGAGTGTAACATTATGAGGGTGAGAGGTGAGAAGAATGGCTATTTGAAAAGAAAAGTGACCAGTGAGAATAGTCAAATGCAAGAACCATGGGGATGCATTGTGATCATGCAAAATGAAAAGGGCAAGGGAGAGGAACTGATGCACGTGACGGAGTGCAAGAAGCACAGAAGGGTGTGAGGTGAAATGAGAGAGGGAAGGGGCTAGGAACAAAAGGGGCTAGGGTGCAAGGAACAAAAAAGAGGTAGCCATGAGGAGAAACAATATTCAAGGGGAGGAAGTTGAGGTGTCATAAAATGAGGAACCACGAGCATGAGGTAGGCCGTTCTGCAGCGACACAAGGAGAGGGAGTGAAAGTTGGGTACTTGCTCCGTGGTGCTGAATCAGGTTTGACATGGCTAAGAGGGAGGGATACCCCACAGAGGTAATTCAGGGTGTCCCTGTCAGGCTACAAAGCATAATGGGCTCAGTTCTGACCTACTTTATGTGCCAGTGTAGAACTGCCCTATGCTACACATGCATAAAACATGAGAAATGTGATTAACTCCCCAATGTAGATTCTATCAGGGAAACAAAACAACAGCTATTAGGATGAGAATGTAGAAAGAATATATGTCAAAGAGATATTTAAGAAGGGTGAAGTGGAGGAGACACACCTGTTAAGAGGGATTAGCATTTGCTTTAATCTTTTTCTTACGCAAGAAATAATTTTCAATGTTTTCATAGAATAGCTATGTTAATCTTTTGCACTGAAATCAGCACTGTCTAGATATCTATGCCCTGAGTCCCCTCGAGGAGATAGGGTGGAATATAAATAAAGTCATACTACTACTACTACTACTACTACTACTACTACTATATGTTTACCCAACTGTATCCAGCCTTACAGGCCTAAGCTTATTTGATGTAAAATGTCTACAGCCAACCTCATGTGGCAGATTCTTACAACATTGTTAGATGGAAGGGTGTATGTAAGATCAGATGGAATGGAAATGTAAAAAATAAAAAGACCTGCCATTCCCTAAATTGTCATTAACAAGCAAAAATTAAATGCGAACATGGACATCTTAGCATCAATAAGTGGCTTATCATGGATATTATGATAAAAATTCACTTAGGTCAAATAAAGTTAAACTAAACTTCCTTCTATGTTATTGAATGCCTTCAACTTATGGAAACTCTTATCACTGAGTTTTCTTGGCAAGATTTCATAGAATTGTAGAATCATAGAGTTGGAAGAGATCTTGTGGGCCATTCAGTCCAACCTCCTGCCAAGAAGCAGGAAATTTGTTCAGAAGGTGTTTGTCTTTGCGAGAGAGAGTGACTTGTCCTAAGTCACCCTAGTTGTAATTAAATATTTAGCCTCTGAAAAAAATCACACCATGTTTTTCTCCTTCAAATTACCATTGATGGTTTTTTTTACTTTCCACAGCTCCTGCCCTTTGAATAAGATTTACTCTTACGTGGCATTTTAATGGATCTGTTTTAGCTTGCCATGAGAAACTGGTAATTCAAAATAGTGATCCGATGCGAATACTACTGGAAATGCCAGTGCATTATATTGTTTTTCTTTTATATGTGCTGCATTAAGAATGTATATGCATCCTTTATGTGGCTCCCTCCTCCCTATTAATCTGTATAGCCACTCTGAAAGATGTGATTGCTAGGAGGCAAAGGTGGCCTCAGCCTTACTTGGGCCTTAACCAGGCAGAAATCTGAACTTAGATTTTCTTTTTTCCAAATCCAGCATTATAAATGCTATTATATTCTGGTTTTCTTAGATCAGTTGTGACGACAAAAATGGTATGAAAGCTGAAACATCATGGAAGTAGAAATGCATCAGTTAATGAGCTGAGCTTGCATAGTCAGAATGCAAATCAGAGTAAGTTGAATAATTAGAATAATTGCCAATTAGATGCCTGGATTTGAGAAAGTAGGCAAAAGTAAGCCTTCAACTATGTTTAGACTCTAATAATACATATATGAGGACCTTTGGATTCTTTATTAGCACTTTATACAGATCGAATATTGCTGTTTTATCTACAGCAATTGTGTATTTTATTGTTTTTAACCAGAGGGTACTGTGAATTTATGATGTTGTGTTGATTGTTTATTGTCTACTTGTTGTATTTTGCATGTCACACCTTGAGTGTTTTGTGAGCTGCTTCGAGTCCCTCTAGGAGATGGTGGTGGGAAAGATTATTATTATTACATCATCATCATCATCACCATCATCACTATTGGCTGTGGCAACCCTTTCTGTATAGAGTAGCAAAGCTCGCCCAAACCAGCCAACCTTACTCTCCATGGCACCAAATAAGCCACAAATGCCAGGCTCTGAAGGTCTATTGGGCCACAGGGCAAGACAGGAAACAACAGCAACATGCCTCTTGCCCAAGCCAATAGATGGCCAATGATTTCATGATAGGAATCAAACCATTTATTGGAATGTTTGGAACAAGAAAACCATCTAAATTCAAGGTACACCTTACCCTTAATTGCTCTTCATGTTAAGAACAATGTGATTTAGGAGTCTGTGAAAAGAACTACTGTGTACATTTAGGCTCTCTACAGAGCTTTATGTACAGAAAGTGGGCTTCAGTGATCTCTTTGGTGGAGTCTTTCAAAAATGCCTCTGCCTATGCTGAACCTATGCATTGTGTAAACACACAAAAACGATCAGAAAGAACAAAATCAAAATTTGGGACTTTTCAACCAGGCTGAAGTTTTCTTTTTGAACCCATCCCATCACCCTTTGAATTTACTCACGTGGAATTTTGTCAATAAGGCTTTCAATGAAGCTTGGCTGGGTTGGAGTTATTGTAGAGTTACTGGGGCTGCTGGGAGCAACCGTGATGCCAGAGGTCGTTCCATTAGCCATGGCTCCAGAAAGGTGAGCTGGAAAATATTTAGAATGGATTAGTTGTGATTATCACCAACCCTGCCAACTCTATGCCATTCATTTCCCTCACATGTGAGAGAGAAACCTTATTATTGCTGTAACTATGCGGATCTTCGTTGCCAGTGTGATGTCTACTCTTCACTAATTTATTGGGATTGGTAATTGCTCTCCTCCCAAGAAGTAAGCATCTCCTGATTTCCTGGCTGAAGTCTGCAGCTGCAGTAATCTTTGCACCTAGAAATACAAAGTCTGTCATGGCCTCCACGTTTTCTCCCTCTATTTCCCAGTTGTCAGTCATTCTTGTTGCCATAATCTTGGTTTTTTTTTTTTAATGTTTAGATGCAACCCAGCTTTTGTGCTTTTTTCTTTCACCTTGATTAGAAGGCTCCTCAGCTCCTCCTCACTTTTGGCCATCAAAGTAGTGTCATCTGCATATCTAAGGTTGTTAGTGTTTCTTCCAGCAATTTTAACCCAGCCTTGCATTCATCAAGCCCCGCACATTGCATGATGTGTTCTGCATACAAGTTGAATAGGTTGGGTGAGAGTATACAACCCTGCCGTACGCCTTTCCCGATCTTGAATCATTCTGTTGTTCCATGGTCAATTCTTACTGTTGCTACATGGTCCTTATACAGATTCCTCAGGAGACAGGCAAGGTGATTTGGTATGCCCATACCACCAAGAACTTTCCACAATTTATTATGATCCACACAGTCAAAGGCTTTAGAATAGTCAATAAAACAGAAATTAAATCCCTAATAGGGCAGAAAAAGAAAATAGATGAGACGGGTAACATTATCTTCAGAGAAAAGAAAGTCTATCTCCTTTTCCATGTATTCCTACACATTTTTAATCAGAACAAGGTGTGAGGATTAGCCACCTCCCTGGGAACACACTCACGTAAGAGCCACACCAAATCAATGTGGTGGATACAACACTTATTTATCTTGGCTCCCACCCTACATCCACTTATCCTGAGAGTTAACATGTTTGAATTTAATCAAGAAATGCAGCTGTAAGTGACAATATGTGATTTCCTTGATAAAAAGAGCCTCTTCAACTTCTTTTCCAAGAGATAAGGTTTAAAACACTTATAAACATGGATAAAAAGCAATGAGCATCAACTTTTGATTAATGCACAATTAAATGCCTTTTAAAAATCTTTATAACTTTAGTGGAGCAACAACAACAACAACAAAAACAACTCCCACCCCTCCTAGTTCATTTATAACATTCCACAACCTAATGGAAATTCCTAGGAGATGCTTGATTAAGAACTGGACAGAACAGAAGTGCTTAGCATCTTTCTTGTTGGCATGCGGCTGGTGGTTCCCATGCCAGTCTGATAATGAACTGATTTCAGGGTTTTGCCAGCTTAAAGGTATTGAACCAATCTAAAATAGAGTTCAGTATCTGGGAGAGATCCCTTAAAGCCTGGGTCAAAGCCTGGAGTGAATTCACCACTCCACAAAAATGGGATCAAAGCGTCACCACATGCAGTTATTAAGACATAGAAGCCATCCTGGGTTTAAATACTGACAAGCCTAACCCAGCAGCAAGAAAGATCCTATGAACCCACAGTTACAAAACAAGCCCATCAACACCAGCAATATCATAAACTTAGCAGACTGTAGATTTTCTATATAGGACCTGAATTAGTAAAATCTTATGTATTTTGTTGCAGTATTAGACACCTTGAAACTCAACAGGTGCCTACCGAGCTAGAACAGAGAAAGGAGTGAGGCCAAAAAGCCAAGAAAATCAAGCACTGTATAGTGTTAAGGAGTATTGGACTAGAACTAGACAACTCTTGGTTCAAATCCTTACTCAGACATGAATCTCACTGAGCCTATTAGCAGTGGCCCTTCCAAATGTCCACTACTCGTTTTCTCCTTCTGAAATGTTCTGATTTCTGCTAATCATGCTGCTTTCTTTCTCCTGACTGATGAATACCAGCCTATCATTAGTCAACATGGAATGCAATCTCAATCAGACATCTGTGTGGTAGTCCCCAGTTTATCAGTCATGGAACCACTGCCAGATTTAGTTTCCTGGAGGAAAGAGCACTCTTGTTATAAGCCTGCATTGTTATTATAAACTTGGCCTTATTTGCAAGTTTACTATCAAGAGTCTGTTAAAATGTTGATTACTACCTTTTCCTTATTTTAAGGAATAGTAAAGGCACCAGTAAAGTTTCCAATATCCTGTCTGATTAGTACTTGGGAGACCAACAAATACCGGGTGCTGTACGCTATATTTCAGAGGATGGAATTGGCAAAATTAATGGGGTTGCCATAAGTCAACAACCAACTTGAAAACACATACATACTTGTTGAAAAGAAATGCTGTAATTTAACACTAAACAAAGAACTAATCCTTAAACAGAGAAACTGAAATCTGGCTTCAAACAGACAGACTCTTAAATCCCAGAAACAGATTCCCCGATAACAACTTAGACAGTCCCCTGGTTTGCCAATGATTTTATAATTTGAGGAACAGTTTCTCATTTCCTGTCTTTTTCTCTAGTACCATTTCAATTTGTAGGATGTACAGAAACTTACAAGCACATTCTCAATGGCGGCTTTCAAGATGTGGAACTCCCTTCCAAAAGAGGGAAGATTGCACTACTCTCTGGTGACCTTCTACTTAAGAAAAGATTCAATAAATTTGTATTTGTATGTTTCCTATACGTCTTCTCTGTTGTGGTTGTAAATTATTTTTAAACCAATTGTTGTCTCAATACTATTATGAGTTTGTATTACAATACTAAACTCTTCTATCTTTTTTGTAATATTAGTTGCATCCAGCTTTTAGTCATGCTGTGATATCACCCTGAGCCCCAATCCTGGAGAAAGACAGAGTAAATCAGCATCATTAACAATGACAACGACAACGACAACAACAACAACAAAATATAGAGCTATGCATACACACATGCTTATGGCAAAATCAACTAATGTAGTATACCGTAACAATAAAGTATTTAATGTTGAGGTTCTAGCACATCTCATACCAAAAAAAGTTTCCATTTTCGGTTCTATTTTCTGCTGCCCCGTTCAATTTTCCAGGAAATTTCCAAAACCGGGAGTTTTGCCAAATTTTCACCAAATTTCAACAAATTCTGAATCACCAAATGGAATTCTGCACATCCCTAATACATAACTCTTAAATTACTATATTTCACAAAATCTAGGGCATTATCAATTGTAAGATGCTGGAAAACCTCCTCAACCTCGCACCTGATGCTGTTGCTGCATCCTCAACTCCTGCTCTTTTTGTTCCACCATTGGCTTCCTTCTCGCTCTCTCAACAGCAACTCCTGATCCTAGGATGCTCATGATTCTAAGATGTACCACTTTTTTTGAACCTCAGTGTTGTGGATAAATGCATATTAGAATGGGTGAAATATAGTAAATTGTAGTGTTTGGCTACTCCGACCTTTCTTACTTAATGAGATGTGACTTTAACTGTTGAAGCTCAGGGTTTTCTACTGTGATATTTCACTTACTAGACTATATCAAATGTCAGCAGGTGCATATCTGATGATAATTGGTTGTAAATCCATGAAAATGCTCATTCACCCTTCATTTATTAATTGCATTCAACTAATTAAACACTACTTAAATATTTATCAGGTGCTGTGCCAGATCAGAAATGAGTATGCCATCTGTTAAATGAGATGTTATTAAACAGATGTAATTCTTATTCCTTGTCTGTCTTTACTTTTAAGAAGAGGCGAGAAAACACATGATTCCAATGGGCATTGTGGGCTGAGGGACAGTTTTCTACTATTGGGACCCTCCAGGACTTGCGCATAAAAACAAAACTTGGTTCAGAAAAATTTGGTGGAAGGTATTATTAAATAGTGAAGGAAGTCTTTGGCTCTTATGTAAAGATGAAATGCTATTCATTGCAGATTCCTGAATTTATCCCTTTTGTTGGACTCAGAAAAGATTTGAAGAATTGGGAGAAGTAAAGCATAGACCATATATAACTCCAATGCCAGACTTTGCCCCTCCTGCATTAGCTGGAGAAAAAACATATGTGCTATTACTTCACATCACACTGCATAGCTTAGCAATTGGAAAAGCAGAATCTCATGAAGGTGTGGCAGTTCCTTCTGAAAGGCACAAGAAAAACTTAAACAGTTAATGTCAGAACAGTGTACAATTGCATTGGCATCCAACCAGTACATGACAATGCAGACTTGTATGACTGACTCCTCAATAGAACTACAAAGCTAAAACTTGTATAGCTAAAAGCAAATATGACCTGTGAGGTAAGTCACATAACAACGGTACATTTTAAATTAGAAGAAACCGGCAACATCTGACAAAACCTGATGAGAAAGAAAAACATAATCTTGATATGCATAAATAAAGTTTTCATCTTATTTAATTTATTCTACTTTAGAGTTCAGGTTTTCAATCAGTCCCTAAATTCCCTATTGCTGGAAATTGCTGAGATTTTTTGGCAGCCTATATATAGAGAGAGGGGGGGGGGGATCATAGAATTGGAAAGGTCCACAGGGGCCATCTAGTCCAACTCCTGCCATGTAGGAAAACACAAATAAAGCACCCCCAAAAGATGCCCATCCAACTTCTGCTTAAAGACCTCCAATGATAGGGAGCCCATCCTCTGTAGCAATTACTGTCTAACCAGCCTTAGAGTAAAATAGTTCTTTCTAATGCTTAGGCAATATCACTTTTCTTGCCATTTGAATCTATTGATTTGTGTTCTGGTCTCTGGAGCAGCAAAAAGCAAGCCTGCTCCATTTTCAAAATGAGATTCCTTCAGATATTTAAAAATAGCTATCATGTTACCTCACAGCCCTTTCTTCTCCAAATTAAGCATACACAGCTCCCTTAGCCATTCCTTATAGGACTTAGTTTCCAGATCTCTAATCAACTTGGTCACCTTTCCCTGAATCCATTCCAGCTTGTCCATGCCCTTATTGAAAAGTGGTGCCCAGAGTGGACACAGTGCCCCAAGTGAGGTCTGGTCAAAGCAGAACAGAGTAGCACCGTTGCTTCCCACAGTCTAACACTGCATTCCTGAAATGGCAGTCCAGAATTGTATTGTATTGATTGGTGTATCACACTGTGGATTCCTATTTAGCTCATGGTCTTTTTGCATGTACTACTTTCAAGCCAAGTGTCATTCATCCTATTTATGCAATTTATTTTTCCTTACCTTTTCCCTGTTGAAATTCAATTTTGGTCAATCTGTCAGGGTCTCTTTGAATTTTGATTCTCTATAGTATTAAGTACCCTCCCTTCCAATCTGGTGTCAATCAGCTGTGCCACTGGGATTGTGGCGCAGCTGGCTGAGTGTCAGCTGCATTAAGATCACTCTGACCAAAAGGTCATGAGTTCGAAGCCAGCCCGGGCTGGAGTGGGTGTCCAGCCATTGTGTAGCCCGTTGTCGACCTTTGCAACCCGAAAGACAGTTGCATCTGTCAAGTAGGAAAATAAGGTACCACCTTGTGTGGGAGGCTAAATTTAACTAATTTATGAGGCCATAAAGAAAAAAGACTCTGGGGAATGTGGAATGCGGAAGAACTTCATCGGTGTCGTTGATGGACGATGAAAAGCAGCAGCTCCCCTGGCGGCCAGAAAAAAGAAAAGTTAAATAGCCTCGGTGTATTTGTCTGTTAAACGTTGTTTGTCAAACTGGCATTGAATGTTTGCCATATATGTGTTACTGTAATCCGCCCTGAGTCCCCTGCGGGGTGAGAAGGGCGGAATATAAGAACTGTAAATTAATAAATAAATAAATAAATAAATAAATAAATAAATAAATAAATAAATAAATTTGCAAGCTTGATGAGCCTACCTTCTATTCCATTATCTAGGTCATTTATAAAGATGGTGAAATAGAAGGCATGCTTATCAAATATGCAGATGATACCAAATTAGAAGGGACTATCACTGGTGAAGTATAGATTAGACGTGATTACAGTTAGATGGATCTTTCATTGGTAGACGGATTGAACTCAGGAAGTGGTTTTACCAATGGTCTCTCTTCAACCTAGAGAGACATGACAAGTAGGATACCTCAGGGTTCTGTTCTGTGCCTGGTGTTGTTTATAAACATCACATAAGCCATTTATAAAGGCTTCATTTGTGTCTATTAAATCAGATTTGCCTTTCTGTGTTAAGAGGCAATGTTCTACCCTTTACTCCTTTGAGTTGCTATCTTTTTGAGATGCACTGCTCTGAAATTCCTGCTATCTGGTTTTCTACAGAGCTGTAATTTATATGTATGTGATTCCATCTGACTAATTGTATGACACTCCACCTGGTTTACTATACTTGCTGCATAAGTTAATACATGCACAATTTGAGTGTTTATGCCTTACGTAAAATGATTAATATAAATATATTTTCCTCTACTTTCTAACAGCATCTGAAAAAGGAAGACTATACAAATATTTCCTGGCCAAATCCAATTTTGAAAGATCTTTTTCTTTATACATCCCAAGACTCTTTATCATTCCATCTAAAACAGATAAATGAAGTGGACTGTGAAAACCGCTACCACATGTTTCTCCTGCAATCATGCAGAAAGAACCTGGATCTCAAGGAAAGTTACCTTTTCTGTCACTAATAGAGTTCATATAAAATGCATGGAATTTATGACTCTTTGTTTACAAGTTTCTATATAGCAAAAAAAGGGGTATCCTTCTGGACCATCTTAGCTGCAACAAAAAAATGTAAGTCAAAACATAGGCCTGTGAATCTAGCATCACAATTTTTCCTATAATTTTTAACACCTTTGTCTGATGAAGGAGCCAGCAGAGCGTCAAAAGCTTGCACGATGTATTTCATGGTTTTTAGTTTGCCCAATAAAGGTATGACTTTTCTATGGATTTAGAATTTGCTGTAGAATAAAACCCTCTTATCCATGGACTCAACATCCTATGGTTTTACTTACCCACAATCCAAAAACAATTCCCCCGCTTTGTGCTGGTCAGTGACCATAATAAAGTTTTGTATTATATTGTGTTGTGTTGAATTGTATTCCCCCATATAAATACTTGTGGGCCTTTCTAGGTCCTCTGCTGTGATTCCATAGTATGCTTCAAGACAAAATATAAGATTTGCCATTACCCACTTTCAGGTATCTACTGGGAGAGATCTTGAAATGTATCTTGGGGATATGGGGACTGAACTGTATATCACAGCAGCTGTGTGTATGAAAAATATGCCAAAGGAAGGAGGAACTACCAGGTTCACAAATTTAGCTGTCTTACAAATTTAGCAGCTCTTTATATAGCAGACAGTAATTTTTAAAAGAATCATTCATTTGACCAAGTCATCAAATAATAAGCAAGTGCATAGAGCTCATTAAAAAATAATTAACATTTCAAAACAGAGGCAATGCTAATTCAGACTTTATGGAAAACAGGATAGAGGTACATATGAGGGTTGTTTCAAATCATCTGAATATATTGCTTTCTTAACTTAGTTTATTTATTTATAGCCTTCCATTCCCCCAGCCTTGGCTATCAAAGCAGCTTAGAAAAATGAAAACACATGCAGCCAAAAGTTCTCATCATGCAAAAGTTAAAACAGTGTGATGCAAAGAAACTAAAAGCATGCCCATTTTGAAAGAGAAATCCAACAGATAGAAAGAGTACGACACATTTATGAAAACCCTTTCCTCAAGATCAATCTGTCTTTAAAGCCAGTGTTAATATATTTTGTTCCCTCCACCTCCATATTTATATATTTGGCTTTTTAAAAGATAATTTGCAACATTTGAAAGTAATATGTAATAGCTTCTATAACAACTAACAAGATTAAACAAGTGCCTTTAAAAAAAATTGAAGTGCCATTTGAACTGTCAGCAAGACCACTTACTTATTTAGGTTTCTTTTGTCACATCTCTCAGCAGAATCCTTCTTGATTCTGAATTATTCCACTTCCCTGAGTGGAGTACATCATAGCTTAGTCTGCTGACCCTAAACCAACACGCTGAATCTAATCCCCTGCGGCAAGAATTGGCTGCCTTTTTCATGTAAAGCACATACTAAACCGGAAATTCTTCTTTGTGAGCTGAGAAACCAGATTGAAGTGAATAGCCCCACCTCAGTTCTTACGTTATGTACCTTTACACACAGACCCACACCAATCAACTCTGTAGACACTCCCAATGTGATGTGGTTTGCAGAACCCGGTGAGAAAGTTAATGGACATCAGAAATGCCTCAGAAACTTAACCTGTCAGTGGATGTTTGCATTCAGTTCATTGCAGTCCAATTTTCAGTGGTTTAATACAATAGAATCCCATTTGGAAAACTAAGGCAGACATACTTCCCATAATCACCTAGTAGGTGATCATGTCCTCAAGAGTTATAGTATGGCACTTAAATTACTATGCCACACCAGCTCCTACTGTCTAAGTAGCCATGGATAACTTTACCCTTCCTGAACTTCTCTAATCTGACTTCTCTAAACTTCCCTTGTAAAGCTGACTAAATTGGATGTCATTACATCATCTTAGGTAGTGTATGCCACAGTGAATATACTTATAACTGTTTCCTAAATATTGATACATTTCTTCCCTTGGATATAATAATTCCCTTAAAATGCCCCCCCCCCAAATTTGAATATAATAAAATGAAAAGGTACCTTAACCTTCCCAATTGTTCTCATTTTTACTGGATATCTGTGTACAACTTTGTTGTCTGAGATAATAGGCCCTTTCGCACTGTACAGCCATAGCACTGAGAAAAAATCTTGGGATTAGCTTGGGCAAATGTGTGTATGGTGATTCAGTGAATACAACTTCAGAGGATGGTATGTATATCTCAAAGCAATCTGACATAGAGTGAAATGAATTTTATATCACACAACACTGGGTTTTGTCACACTACACTCTTATAGCACTCTGATTCCACATCCTATGGAATCATGGGATTTGCATTTTCTGTTGTGTAACTTCACGTATTTCTAACTTATGGTAACCTTAAGGTGAGCCAGGTATTGGATTTACTTGTCAAGATTTATTCAGATAGGATTTGTCATTTCCCTCCTCTGAGACTGAGACCGAGTGAATAGCCCAAGTTCACCCAACAAGTTTCCATGGCCAAGAAGGGATTCCAACCCTGGTTTCCAGAGTCATAGTCCAGCATTCAAGCCATCAGACTAGTGTAGGTATAGGCAAACTTCGCCTCTCCAGGAACTGGACTTCAGTTCCCAGAATTCCCAGCCAAGTTACCAGCTGTTAGGAATTGTGGGAGCTGAAGTCCAAAACATTTGCAAACCATTGTCTGATGTTACATTCACTGAATATTGGTTATGCCCATGCGAACCCAGAGTAACACTAAGATTCTGTTCAATAAAGTCCTACTAACAAATTAAAAGTGTGAATCATAAGATATTGGGTATATCTTCCCTTCTCCAAAGAAATCCACCACTGGAATTTTGAATGAATATCTGTCTGTCTGTCTGTCTGTCTATCTATCTATCTATCTATCTATCTATCTATCTATCTATCTATCTGTTTCTTTCTCAGATGAGTCTCTTTATAGTGTTCTATCTGGTGATTCACTTTCCATGTGCAGAGTAAAGGAACACAGCCTGTTACTAAAAAGAGGTGGCAGTTTAATCTTTAACCTCAATACTCCTTGGAGGAGGTACGCCCTTTGACAACTGACGTCCCATGAGGAACTATAAAAATGTTTTTCAAAGAAATCATGCACAGAATATTTTATTTGGAAACAGTGCCAGTACAATTCTCTATAAGAATGACAGAAGAAGTTCAGATAACCTGGAAAGCATCAAGAAATAAACCTGTTATGTAAAAGACAAGATGCCAGCTTCCCATTCAGTTCTTAAGGTATAACTCATGGCCCTCTGGGTGTTACCAGCATCTCCACCTGGCAGGCTTGTGGCTCAGACATAAATGTTCCCATATTAATTTAAATGTACATGGGAATTCTTATACAGAATTTCTATAATTCCCATGACTTCACTATGTGATTTTTGGTTAGCCAAGATGTCAGTGAGAGTAGGCTATTGTAGCTCAATGGTAGAGCCACTAGAGCAGTGATTCCCAAGCTCTGGTCCTCCAGACATTTTGGCCACTTTTCAGTGACTTTGGCCAATGGTCAGTGGTTCTCCAAACCTGTTGTACTAGAGTACCAGGTTAGTCATTTGTATCTGCAATTTAAAGAAGCAACAACACTAGCTGAGAAAGGTTTCTGCTAAAGACAGGAACACTTTCATGCTACTAAAACACCACTTTAACTACTTTGGCAACAAACCTTTCCCACAGCACCCATTCCCCCCTAAACTTACTGGAGGTGCCTGTTGACAGTGCAGGCCCCTTTGTAGAGTGCTCCTGATGCTTGAAAATGATTCCTGCCACCTCCTGATGTATCATTTTCAAGCATCTAGAGTACTCTGCATAGGGGCCTGCACTGTGGACAGGTTCCTTGGGTAAGTTGGGGGGGGGGAGGGGAGGGGAGGGGAGGGGGGCTAGATGCACCCAAAGTCAATCTTTGGTTGACTTGGAATGGCATCTAGCCACCCCCTGAGGGAAAGCCCAGGGTTGCGGGAGGGGGTGGGAACTGGAACTTGGGAGGTAGTAGGTTACTTCCTCCCAGGTTTTAGGTAAGTGTAGAAGGGCTCATAGTGTAAAAAGTGTGAAAGGGCCCCAGAGCTACACCTTGATACTTGGCAGTGTGCTGATCAGCGACCATAATGTGTTGTTGTTGTTGTTGTTGTTGTTGTTGTTGTTACTAGGCAGTGTGAGATGGGCAACTGATTTAGTGGTTATGAAAATGTGGCACACTTGCTGGTTGCTTGATTTATTACTACCATAGTTTACTACCAAGGAGAAGCAAAGCTTATCCGGCGTTGGGTCCCATAAAATGTGACTTGCAGCACAGGCAGCATTTACACCTACATCTCAGGTATGACTCTATCTTGGGTCAACCACGGAATAGACTATATTGGGCTAAATGGATTAACCATATAACTCAGTATAAGTCAGCTTCATGCGTTAATAACAGCTGTGACTATCTGACTATTTTATCAGAACTGTCTCCATGAAGTTTCATAGAAAACACAAGCATAAACATGAATCAGAGGGACAGGTGATAGCATCCCATGTTGAACTAAGACTAGAATGCACCAGTGTTTATGTAGGCACAAATGAAGAATAAATTGAAGTCAGGGTTTTTCAGGAAGATCCAGATTGAGGACCATGCTACATCGGGACACAATGGTTTTTCAGCGTATTTTGTGCGGGTGGAATAGGACATAAGAATTCCTGAGCAATTCAGAAGACTCTCAAATTATATGTGGATTTTTTAATGCCATCGTTTAAAGGGGACTTTTTTTATTTTAAAAAAATTCTGTATCATGATTGCATTTGGAACTATAGGCCCTTCCACATAGGTCTATATCCCTGAATATCAAGGCAGGAAATCCCACATTATCTGAGTGTGTACTCAGATAAACCAGTTTAAAGCAGATATTATGGGATTTTCTGCCTTGATGTTCCGAGATATAGGGCTGTGTGGAAGGGCCCACAGTGAGCTCTCCAAGAAGGAAAATAATGAACTCTTCCTGGCTTCTTCTCAGGCATGTATCTCTTGTGGAGGAGAGCTGAGGGCATTTTCCTCCAACAAGCATTCTGCCTTCCACAGAGCTTTTCCTTCTAATCAGCAGAATCCCTATTTTGTCCTGGCTCTCCAACCTTAGGTGTATATATATTCAGAACCTGCAGACTGTCAGGGGGATGAAATCATGATAAATCACTGCAATGCTACCTCTTCACCCTTCAGGTCTTGCCTGCTGCTGCACAGAAAAATCTGGCAGGCAGAGCCAAGAAAGTTTAACACTCACCCTTCTCATCCAGTCGGGTCTCTGAGATACAGACCAAGGATGGTATCCCATGCAGCCCCCCCCCCCCCACCATTTCTAAACACTTGTAATACAGAAAGGAAACTATGTATAACGACTGCCTCTCTGCATCTATCATGTCTCATCAGGGAAATATTTCTGAACTGTCTGGAAACCCAGGGGTGGGGACGGGGAGAGAGATAGAAGATGGCAGAGATCATCTTCTGAACTCAGGAATCACTGTGCAACTGGAGAAAGTGGGGGGAAACACATGGGATGAGATCTGTCAATTTTGCTCATGTTGCCATGGAGTAAGGGGTATTCCTATAGGCAGTATCCTGCCAAGCATTGACCTTTCTTTCCCAAGACCCTGCTTCGTCGTGAGCCTGGCATGGTGATTTTTAAAGTTAATTTCATCATTAAAAATACATAAATGTCAAAATATCACCACTGTATTTTTCCTGTCATTTCTCCTTCTTGGCTTTCAAATTTGCACTATGGGTAGCCTTATCCTCGGGAGTCGCAGTTTTTAAAAACAAACAAAAAAATGTTCAGGAGGTCCTGAAGCTTAAAATTAATAGTCCATGTTTTAACACAGCAGGTTAATCACTAAGCTGCTATAAATCTTGCCAACGAGAAAGATGATAGTTTGAAGCCTGGGTCAAGGTGAGTGCCTGACCTTTCAGTCCAGCTTCTGCCAACCTAGCAGTCTGAAAACAAGTAGATAAATAGGAACCACATTAAAATGAGGAGGTATTTTAGTCATGGCATTTTGATCAGAAAAAGGAAGAAGGTTTATGAACAAAGAAAAATGCTCTTCGACAAGGAGATGGAGTGACAGATCCCACCCTCTACTCTCATGGCTGGAACCGAGCACAGGCTCCGAAGATGTTGAAAGATGGGAAAAGCCTAAATATATACCTCTATCTGTTGTCTGTCTTGTCATTGCATATTTGCCATATATATGTTCTGTTGTCCACCCTGAGTCCCCTTCTGGGTGAGAAGGGAGGAATATAAAAAGTGTAAAAAAATAAATTAAATTAAATTAAATTTTGCTCCCAGATCATGTAAAGTTGCCTAGGCCCAATCTAAAACAACCACTGCTGAAAGAGAAGTTTAAGATCAAACACCCATCTATCATTTATCCATCAATTTGTCTTATCCATCCATTTGTCTCTTTTTGATCCTA